TCTAGGAACCACAAGTAAACCTGCACTCTTCTTGCACAATTCTTCCTATGGTTCAGCTCAAAATGAGCTAACTAAAAACAAATTTTGTATAAAAGTCTCTTTTCATCACACATTTGTATTCTCAAGACATCCAGCTACAAAATCTTTAAGCATTTGAAACAAACTGAGGCCTGTGTCCACACACATTTGCACACAGATTCTACTATGTCAAAGCCAGAGATGTATAAAGCTTCATCTGTCATCGCTGCTTTGTCAGGCTTTCAAAGCTTGGACTTTTAGAAAGATATTTCCTTTTCTGACTGAAGAACAGGTGCCCATTATCACCTTGAAGAGCAAAGAACTGAGCTGCATGTTAACTTTTTACTCCACCCTGGAGCTACAAAGTTCAGATCTTTGATGCACCACTGCTGCCGTACAATATGTAAGCCTCAGCTGCCAACACATACAAGGCAGGATCAAACGCAAGAGGATTCAAGGTGAAAAGCTCTTTTTCTACTTCGTTTGGGAGATAAGCCTGTGTCAAAAGAACCAAGTGCCAAGGAACTTTAAAACTGCTCCATTGTTTAAAAAAAGATTAAATGTCAAAGTCATATTTTGGTGTTTTGAAGTCGACTGAAGCCACAACAAGATGGAAACAGAAGTTGTTCACAGGGGAACTGGAAACCAAGTAGGCTAGACCACTGCATGGGCGCATCCAGAGTGCACGCAGTGTGTACATGGTCATGCACCACAAGCTAAGCTGCCTGAAAATGCATTAGCCAAGTTAAAAATGAATGAACAACCAGTGCCAGGAGACAAAATACAGACACCACCAGCTCGGCCCTTTACATTGTTAATTGCTATAGTAGACATGGATCATGCTCACTCGCATGGAGGCATGTTGCTGTAAAGACAGCTTGTTTCACCATCTGAAGAACCACACTGAATATGAAGACTATGAAACACTTCGACAACAGGACTAAACCAGCCAAGCTACAAGCACACTCTTAAAACTTTAGAGGAATCATTCTGCAAAAGCAGTTTTAATGTTTGTGTACTGTTTTACCTTAATGCTTCAGTTTTAAATAAGACCTGTTCTTAAATATGTTATTGTCATAAGTCAAACACGTTTTTGAAGGATGCAGAATATAGTCTGCTTATCATCATCAACAAAATATCCAGATATTTTTTGTTGATATCTCACATCCCTAGTGGGACATCATGTCTGGTGTGAAACAGTTTATAATCCAAGTGTACAAACTAAAGCAGTGTGACCCCCAGTTCCACCCTGCTTTAGACTTTAAAGACTATTACAGAGTGAAAATACCTTTAGTGGCCTCAGTCAGAGCTACTGGCAAAATCAATGCAGAGGTGAATGAAATGCCCGGACAGCTACATGGAAGTTTAACCAGTGGGAAAAACTTCTCTACAGACGGTACAGTACCTGTGAGGGGGTGAAACCAGACATCCTGAAGGCCGAGTGGACCAGGGGAAGCTCAGCTTTCAGCAGCATCTCCACATAGTGAGCTGTACACCAGTAGACAGGAGGGATTCCTGACTTGGCGACTTCCAGAGGAACATGGACCTGTCACAACAAACACAAGATGATCATCTCTCTTGAGTTCGGAACATTTGTAGATTTACTGTAAAGACAGAATGTTTTGATACTACTACTACTACTGCTGGAGATTCAAACAAAAAACAAGAGAAACAAGTTTTGTGATCAGGTTGAGGTGGCGATTTAAACAGTCTTGACACGATGTTTATTTTGAGTGACAGAACTGGTCATCTGTACGCGTCTGACTACGCCCACATTACCTCCTAAACGTACTGATGCTTCTTAATTATTAGTGGCCTGTTTTTTGTTTTCTGTGAAATTGACTATATCGACCACACTGTGCAGCCGGAGACTAAATGCTGTGTGGAAAAATCCACCAGCTGCCTCTGCATCAGACACTGAGCACGTATGTCAGTCAGGTCCAACTGAGCCCTAATTGACTTTGTCGAGAGAAAACAAGATGAGAGAGGTGGGCATAATGACAGCAAAACTTAATCTCAGCACCTCAGCTCTCCCCTGCAATTAGGAATGATTGAAACTAGACTTCAATTTAGACGTCTTCCCATCAGCTGAACAACTTTTTGTACTTTTTTCACATTTGTCTCTTTCAGTCAACTCCCTTTTTTTCAGTTCAGTAGAAAAAAAAAAACAAAAACTTTCACCATGTTGAAAAATGAGAATACAGAGTTGAACTGACAGTGCTTATTCATCATCACCTTCATTTATTCGTGCTGTTGTACCACTGTTGTGCTTGTTTAACATGCTTTATAAATAAAAGTCAGTTGAACATATCTGAACAACGCCTGGAAAATTAACTTGCGGAAAATGATGTTCCAGCCTTAACAGAAAGGAGCTCACTATGCTAATGCTGCGTTCATGTCATGACAGCACGGTGGGGAGGATGGAAATAGTTCCCATAGAAACGGCTCAGGAGCGTTCACGCAGCAGTCCAAGATGGTGACTGTCCGCAATCTTGTCTGTGATACTTTTTAGTTAACCTAGTAATGTTATTTTATTTTGTGTGACCACACAATGTCACTAGCTCACTATGTTTATAAGTAACATATTTCTGGCTTGTTCACAAGTGAAATTAGGTGCAACTGCTGGTGATGGTAGTTTTGAAGCACTTCCTCAAGCCTTTCTGCCAAGTGGGAGATACCGTAGCCGCCAGAAATTCCCAATATCTCTGACTCAGAATTATGAGCTGGAGGTTGACGTGAACAGTTTTTCTCACTAGGCTGCTCGTTTTTGTGGTTCAATCTACATGACATGAACACAGCATAACCAGTTTAGTGTGTGCACAGTATTCCATCTTTTTTAGCCCACATTTACGCCTTCCTTTTCAATCCCAGACTGTCTCCTCAGTAGCTGCACACCATTATCTTGTCTAGAAAAAGTGAACTCTTAACAAACCAAGACAGTGACAATACATTAAGCCTGAAGAATGCTACGTACGATGGATGCATGACTAATGAGATACAGGGTCTCTCAAGTTTCAGGTTTGCTGTCATTTGAAGCTTCTAAAGTGCTAATTTACTGCATATTTAAATCCTATCTGTTGTACTTTAAATACACTGTACTGAAGTTGTATTTGCACCGTGTTATACTCACAGATGCATGTATCCTTGCAGGCCAGATGAATGCAGAGGTCAGCAGAGAGGAGAGGTTGAGCAACAAACTCAGAGAGCGGTCCATGTCTCCGGCCATGATGAGGAACACTGTGGAGACGAACCAGTCGTGGCCCGGGTAACCATCCTGCTGAGTGACTGGAGGGCAGAGTTAGAGAGCAAACGGGCTGGTGCAAAAGATGCACAGCTCAATAATAAAGATTCTCAGTAATGGTAAACAAATAGCTCCTGCATGAAAATGGTTCACTGATAATAAATGGGACCAATTCATGTGGGCTGTAGATCTATGCACTGCTCATCTAACCTTCAAATGAGCCTATTGTAAAACTAATTTACAGTAAAGGGTAACAACAAAAAGCAAAAGAAAGGACCACTTTCCACATATAAATGAATCTGAAATAACAGCCTTTGCATTTTATTACTGCTTGATTATCTCCTTCAGTGGTAAAGTGGTGATATATTTAAACAAACAGGTTAGCCTGTTAAAGAGGTGAATGTCTGCCCGCTGCACACTGACGCCGAAGGGGACTTGGGAAAGGATACTGAGATCTGAAGAATTCTTGACTCTCTGTGTAGATAAGAAGATCTTTACGTGCTTCATTAGTAGCGTCAGGTCATGCACTGCATCATCTTTGAGTAGACTGAGGTAGCTGCCATATCTGTAGAAGACAAAACAAACATCATACACTGCCACAGACCAAATGTCGAGCTAAATGACTTCATTCCTGAGATATATCTAGTCTGCAAGTCTGTGCTTCTTTTTTTCTGCCCTTTTTTTTTATTCTCAATAAAAATAAAGCTATATTACTGTGAAACTTTTTACTTGATTGTAGTCGTTTTTTAGAGCCACTGTTTTCTTCTCATCTCATATTTTCCATCTTGTACTTAAATGAAAGTCACACAACACAATGAGAGATATATGTTACCAACTTCAGCGACAATGAAATACTTAGGCTTCATGCACACACCCAGGACTCATCAAACTCAAGTCCAGTCAAGTCAGATTTAACCGAGCAAGTCTGACATGTTTACGTCAAGGATTAATTATAAATTCACGTCCAACAACTTTTAATCCTCTAAGATACAGTGCTCTGTAATATTCAGACACTTTGTTCTTCTGATACCAGAAATGCAAACATGGCACTCACGGTTTTCCTGAACATGATTTCAAACTTTTCAATTCAATTGCAAAGTTTTCTTCAGGGAAGGTGTCAAAGAAAGAGTTATATCCACTCTGTAATGCAGCAGCAGGGGATAATTAAAGACAGACATGAGCAGTGTAAAAACAGTAACAAGTCAGGGGGCCTACTCATGGAGAGAAAAACAAACCAAGTGTTATGAACACCGGCATCATTAGAGTGAAAACAAAACAGCAGGAGAACACTTACACACCTTTTCCAGGTACTACTGTAGGAGCAGAGGGGAACCATAATATTCCTGTTTATACGGCAGCGTTCTTTTTCTGATGCTTTTAATAACTAGCAAGAACTGTTCATCTTTGGGGCACATTTGCAGCTCTAGAAAAACTCCTTCTACTCTGCCTCATACCCAATTCCTTTTGCTCCCTCCGTCCCAGCACTGTGCCTGAATCAGTCATGTGTACACCGCAGTACATTACATTGCTAGTTGTGTTATATTCTAGCCACTTAAACTCCTGCTTCCATTCAGTCCTACATATTTGCTGTAGGGATCATGTTAGAAGGTTGATCAGGCTTACTAGACCCATACTTTAGCAGCCAGCAAGCTGGAGACAAGTAATCTTACTGCTCGCTTTCGTAGGATGTTGAATCATGATGAATGAATGAATCAGAATGTTTGTAGAATGTTAATGTTGTGGCTTTTTTCAACCAAGTAATCTCACTGAGACACGGGGTCTCATTATACACCTGATGAAGCTTGGTGGCCACAGCTGGCCACCTACTGGCGACATGTGGTAGCCACACGGTAACATTTTGTGGCCATGGTTAATATCGAACCCTGCTAATACCTGGGGACAGATGGTACACACTGTACACAGAAACATGCATGCTTAAACTGGTATTCCCATAAGAAAACTAGACTTGCCTCTTAGCGGTTGTATGTCAAATTCATGGAAATGGGGCAGACATGAGATCACTGTGACCTTCACCTTTGACCATCCTCTAATCTAGGTAGACACTTGACAAATTGTCGTTCTTCACATATGATGTTCACAAGAATGAGAAACCCGAAAGCTTAATGCCTCCGGCCGCAGCTATCACCAGCGCGGAGCCATAAAAATGTGCACGCCTCTCACATGCTAAGGACTTACCATGGTTTTAAAGAGAGATCTCAGTGTGATATGGAAATGGTAATACAAGGTTGGAAAGACATCAAACTGTGCCTCTTCTAAGAAAACGGTGCATAGCATTTTGAAATGAGAAAAATGGAAAGAGAAAAATATGCCACAGTACAGCTAAATGCAAGTCTAAATGTCAGGTGCATTAACGGCAGCGGTTTTTAACCAGTGTTCAAGTGTTTCTGAATCTTTTCTTAGCATGACTACTAGAGTAAACAACAAAGTTTGCAGTTCACTGAGTTTAAGCCTGGAGTGAAACAGTTTGTACACAGCAGGTTCTCTGTCCTAAGTTGCTGCCGTGACAAGACTGTCTTACTGAATAGGGGTTTATGAGCTATAGACGAAGCTTGACATACCTGAGACAGGTGTTGATTCCTAGCTGTTCCACAGATGATAACACAGTGCTCCTCACACTCTTCTCCTCCGCTGCAAAAGAAACAAATAAAAAAAGAGAAATGATCATTACTAAATAAGGCAGTACCCATAGAGGGGACAGAGAGTTGTTTGGGAAAAATACTAGCTAGACCCTAACAGAGTGTGTACAGCCACGGAGAATAGAAAAATATGACAACATATCATGATTTGCTACTTCTAAGGCACTACAGGTGTGAGGCTGCATCTAGGTAATTTTGTAGTTGGCAGTTTTACAGCAACCATTCGGCATTTAATTGTGATGTTTGCCAAGTTGTGCGATATGAAGGTGACATGGATAATTTCACTAACAGTCGGCCGTGGGCAATTTCACAGCAGCATGTTGATGGTTTAGAGCAGCGGAGTCAACCCTCGTGATTTCAGGAGTGTGGTGGAGTTTAGGAAAGACTGCAGTATGAAATGTTGAGTCCTGTGACAAAGCTTTTTATCTCTGGACTTTATCTGTGGAGTTGGGTCCTACTGTGAGATACTGGAACAGCTGAAAGCACTGAAGCAGGTCAACTTTAGAGCCACATGCCACAGCTTTGTACAGACTGCTGAGTTCTCCCCAGCTGCTCTCAGCACCATTACGCTTGCAGAATCATAAAAATATATTAGTTTTTGGAGTTACAGTTGTAATTGCATGGAGAGAACGGTGAATGGAGCAATAACATGCAGGAGGAGTGATATTTTGTTTTGGGAGATGTTTCTACTGCTCTCTGGCTGTGGGGAAAGGGAAGAATATGAGATCCTCCAAGCCCACATAATCACTTTGGTGCTAATGGATCCCCTGCTTATGACAGTTTGTGGTAAGATAATTTCAACAATTAACATAACTAGTATTATCCAGACAGTGTCAGAGAAAATTTCAAATCCAATTTACAGACTAATGGTGCACAAAGATGCAAGGGAAATAATAATATGGTAGCTATAACCTACATATCAAAATGGTAATTCTACGCTGTTACCAACAAAAAAGTCTCTGAGTTGAGCAATGTGGAATAATCACAGGCCATCAAATCACATATTAATTGAGAGAAAATAACTTTTGATGAGCACATAAGGCAGTGCCAGGACAACTACTTCTGCTTTTTCTCTCTCACCTTCTCTCCTCACATATTAACATCTCTAAAAAACCACTAGCTGATGGCAATTACTGTCTAATGGAGATGAATGCTCTCGCGTTGTGTTTATTTCCTCCCTCCTCGTTCCTCTCTCCTACAAGTCACTCCAGTTCTGTGCCCCCAGAATCTATCCTACAGTTTGGAACAACTGTAATCACAGCCATTTACCTTTTGTTAAACGGAGCCACTGTTAAACAATGGCATGCTCAATGGATCGCAGATGTTAGTTGGGACAATCTGTTCTTAATTGCCAAGTAAAGTGACTATGAAAGTTATGAAGAGTAATCGCATTCAGCTTCCAGAAGTCTTACAATCCTCTGTGCTTTGTATAAATGAAAACAAAAGTGATCTTCAAATTAAAGAAGCCTGCGGAATTAAGGGCTTAAGAGAGTGAGTCACTGTTATGAGACACATTAAGAAGAAATCCTTTAAGATGGGTGTACAATTTCTACAAGGAGCCTGTTCAGTCTCTGCATGCCAGATTGAATTGAAGAATCTTTTTCTTTTTACAATAAACAGAGTTACCCTCTTGAAAGCTTCAGAACTACAGTAGCAAGTAAACGGATAGTCCGATAGTTGCATCAACATCTGCTTCCAAGCTCAAGAATAAATTAAACTCAGCTTTTGAGCCAACATGGACGTAAGGTCTTAAACATGTTCCAGTACAGGTTCCAAGACGACTGAGCAAACTTCTAGTTCTAACTTTAACAATATATTGTATTTTGTCACTGCTTGTTTTATAACCATTTATTTTTTTATATGGAATAAAACTATTAACCACAATTGTCAAATAAATGTGGCAGAGTAAGAAATGCACACATTTTCTCAGTGATGTAGTGGAGTAAAATGATAAAGCTGCATAAAATGAAAATGTCAAGTAGAGATCCCAATGCTGTACTTACAGTAAGTACAATACTTCACCACTGGACTACCTCCTCCTGTATATACAGTGTATTAAAGTGTGCAGTATTTAAATTATTCTACTATAAGATGGTATCTAAAATCAAAGTCAGAATGTGGGGAGAAAATCAATTTAAATGAGGGTTTGTTTGAGAAAGCACAGATCTTTGTCTGATACATTAAGATGTAATAGTAGTGGAAAATTCCCTCTCTCTGCTTCCAACCACCCGATTTCAACAGGCAGCTGAAATAAAGGAGACTGCTGGCTGGCTGCCTCCAGGAGTCAGGACCATGAAGAAGGGGAGGAGATCCAACTCAGCACAGTGAACTGACAGAGGTTAATGCTTAGCAAATGAGTCTGCTTTCTCAACACAATGGGTGCACTCAAGTAGGGCAGAGTGTAGAATCTGCAGTCAACGCCAGTCAAACACACAGGGGTGCCCGCACACACTTACACACAGATAACTGGCAGATTGTGGAACTCAGCGAGAGCCCTGACAGCTGTCTGGTCTGCTCACAGGCTCTTTTGGGGCAGAATTTTAGAGGGCAATATGGAATCACAGTGTGTGCGAACGTGAACTAGAAAGGACACCAGAGAACCCTCATTTTGAAGCAATGAAGAGATGTAGACATGCAGGCTAATGCGGCAATTTAATAACTGATTCTGAGTTGGATGTTGAAGCAGTGCGTGCAAGACCTTTTCAGAGCATCACAGAGTTTATACAACTGCTGGCACACAACTGTAGTGAGCAAAGGACTGCTGGCACACTGCAGCACATCTAACTGAAACCAGTGTTCTAGATGAGACCGCTCACTGTGGGCTTTATGACAAGGGAGGTTGAATTCTCCTCTTTTCTAGTGAGGCGCACGACACGTGAAATTCAGTGGACTACATGCAAAATTAAAGGGCCACTACACTATTTTGTCTGACCTTCACTGTGCAGACCGATGTACAGTTTGGCAAACGTTGATTGAATTGAATGGGAAAGTGTGTCCAAACCTTTGACAGGTACTGTATATATCATGAGGTTGTTTATTTTCTAAAAAAATCGACAGGAAAAGGCCGTTTATGGATAAAATAACTGGACTGGAATGTCTGTTTTTGACTAACCTGGCAAAACAGACCCCTGACAAAACAATACACAGTACTTCATCACACTGATGCAAAAATAATTCTGAAATCCAAGACTGCCATTAATCGGTCCTGTTCACTGCCCACAGTGGCCAAATACAACCCGAGACACGTAAGGAACACGGTAGACCTCACTATTTCTAACACTATAGAATAATCTTATTAACAAATTTCTATTGTTTTATGGTGTATCCCATATTTGGAACAAACATCCAGAAAACTTGCAGCGTGCTCCAACTCAGTTCTTTTAAATTCGAGCTTAAAGCTGTTGTTGCCTTGCACTGCTCCCTATTTATCTTGTGCTTTTTTCTATTTTAAATCCCATACATCTTGTTTTATATTGTTTTCTCTTCTACATCTGGTCCTCACATCTGTGTCTTATTGAAGTAAACAGGTCTCACCTATCAGCTCTCCCAACCCTTACTCCAACTAGTGAAACAAATCGTTATACAACACAGTAACAGCACAATGCAAAGGTCTTCAGCTCCCCTGGTCAGGCTGCCTCACTACCTCTAACAATGCATTTACCGCCTATAAAGATGTGGTCAAAAGGCACTCAAAAGTCCAATGCTTACACAAAGCTAATTTGTAAACATCTACTGATGTGACTGCATTGTACAATCATGTGTGTACTGAAAAGGACTGAGAAATTACAATAAGAAGAGGAACACAAAAAGAATTCATATCCTTGAATGCCAGTGATGACTACAATATGAAAAGGAAAACAACTGACATCAGACAATACCAAGATCACTTTAAGACTGATGGTATTGCATTAATCTGTTCATGTGAGACACCATGAGAGCAACAGGTTTTAACTTTTAACACAATCATATGGTCACCAGACTATTTTTTATAATGCTATACGAGACACTGGTCATATTAGCAAAGGTATTCTGAGCCAGAGAAAAGGGGAAAGAATTATGCAGCAACTAATTGCCTGTAACACTCAGCAGATGTCAGTCAGGCCTCCAGCTTGTCCTCTCACCAGACCAGTTTTTAGATATAAAACATAGCATTACCTACAGAACACAGTTTTACAGCTAATGTACTGTTAATTCTGTATCACACCCACTTTTCTTCCTTTAATAGGTTAAGCGCCCTCACTGGTCAGAATATAATAGTGTCATATTTAAGAGTTAAGGAGATTAGATTTAATGTGAAACAGTGGATTATAGTTAAAAGACCACTAGTATTAATAGACTGTATGAACTACTGGGACACGATTAAAAACACAGACTAACTCGACACCTTTGTGTAAGACATCATAACAATATGGCCCATGTCTAAATGACATCACTGATTACCGGATTATTATTTTTCAGCATTTAATAACATCTGGCATGAAAAACTACTTTTTTGGACACACAGTAATGCAACATACTGTTCAAAGGGCTTCTGTTTTGATCACCATCATGTACCTTAGGAAACAAGGTATTACCTACCAGCATAACAATCAAATGTACTGCTAAAGGAAGTCAAATTTAATGTGGTGATTAGCACAGCAGTTGGTAAAGGTCCGTACTGCTGAGCAATGTGCTACTTTTGGAACACCTATAGAGACAACATTTACAGTCATTGTAACAGTTCTAGGCTTTATTGGTCTGAGCAGGAATCAGCAAAAAGCTCGATTATTCTTGATAATCAAACTGAACTCTGCCACTTGATCTTCACACAAGCCACGCTGCACACCTCCTCCTTCTTATGTAGCGCCGTGTCCATGTGACGCCTCTAAATGGCCTAACATGTACTTGACTCTGTGTTCCAGTCAATGCAAAAAGAGAAAAGGGGCTCATGCTCTAAATCCAAAACCCACAATAAATCCAGAAAGCTTTAAGGTGCTCTTGAAGTTGAACCATACAAACTGAACAAAAGAAAAAATACTTCAGGCACTCTTAGGTGGAGTAAGGAGTATGGTAAAAAGCCTATTGAATCTGGCAACTCGGTAAGAAACACGACTGGATTCAACCTCACCAAGTCGTCATTAGGGCGGAAACAAACTGTTTGCACTGGGTAGTTTTTTATGGGTAGTACCCGGGAAGTAATACAATTACAAACACTACAGAAAAGACACCACATTAAGACATCAAAACTATACAAAGTCTCTGATCTCTGCATTTGGGTTCATCGACTCTGGCTCACAGTTACAGCGTTACTAATCAGTGCCAGATTGTTGCACAGACATTATTTGAGCAGAGGCATAAAGCACCGTTGATTCAGTTTGTGCAATTTTTCATTATTCCCCCTGTGGATTGATTAACTGAAAGCATACAGCACTGCTGAGTCTGTGATTATTTTAATTAATATGGTAAATATGTTACATTTGGTTAAACAAAGAATTAGCACAGGCAGAACACTACTTTGTTACTACTACTACTACTACTACTATACGTTAGGGAAGTGAAGAGCATGATGACATGTCTGTTTTAAAAACATTTTGTAAAAATATGCAAATGAAAACAAATAAATATGCAATTAGCATTTTATCACCTCTAGGAAAATACACAGTTTGCACGATTTACAGGGTTTTCACTAATTAGAGGTTCTGCTTTCTGGCTATAATCAGTCTGATCAGGTTGTTTAGCCCACTGGCTACCAAACAAGCCAACCCTCTGAAATCACACGTTTGATCCGGGAAACGTAACTAATTTCAACCTGAGGTAGGAAAGCTGCTCTGGGAATGAAAAGGATTTTCTCCTCTTTTTTCCCCTGTCTGCCAGCCCATGAAGAGATGTGTCAACTGGGACAGCTCAAAAGTATTCAGAGCCTTCAACATCTCAAGACAACGCTCATCCACCCCTTACGAGTTGCCACTGCTGAGTACCTCTGTGACTTCTAGCAGAGAGGTCAACAATGCTTCACTACAGTCTTCTGGCTCTGCCTCCCCTTCAGAGAGTGTAACAGTCAGGTTAGAGGGGTTCCCCAAAGTTTTCCTTCCACAATCCAGCAATATCCACAGTCAGGGTCAACAGTTTTTTCCGCTGCTGAAAACATCCTGGGCAAAACATGGGTTTCCTCTCCTGAGTCACGAGAAGCTCGAGATACAAGTCTGCTGAAATACTTGACTAATACATCTGTGAAATGTGGGAAGACTTCCTCTGAAGTGTAAATGTATTTTTATAAACCCAAATGACACAGCATAAATCTTTACCTGAAGGCTTTACAATCTGTACAACATGAATCCCTCTATCCAAGGCCGTTCCATCTCAGTGCCATGCAACAATTATGTACCTCCACAGCGCTACCAAATGACCCCTAGTGCACCTTCATTCACACCACCTAATAAACTGACATCACACCTGATAATGAATGGGTTACTGTAACAACACATACAAAAGATTAGTTTTACACAAATCCATAATCTTCGCTTTGTGTTAATTTCCCCCTAAACTCTAGTCTTTCCACATACCCTGCCAAGTGCAGAAGTAACCCCTGAGATGCATGATACATGCACATCTGGCTAGGGATCACTGCTCTAGATGCTCCCAGTTGGCTCTTGCTGCATATCTAGATTTAGCCTCCCCCACCACATGACCTAACTCACCACCTGTAAGCACAGATCTGATGATAACGTTTCAGTGTCCATCCCTGATCATTGGCTTAAAGTGTTGTGTCGCAGTTGCTCTGGCCCTTGTATTATCACTGGATTTCCTTCAGTATCAACTATAAATTATGCATCTGCTAACCAAACTATTCAGGTCTTCTTGTGCGGAAAAATAATTTTAATATCAATACCGCAACTCAGAATGTAAGTAACAGGAAAACAGAGGAAAGTATTGAGGTAAGATTTATGTCCTGAGCACAAACAATCTGGCTTACTTCACTGCTCCACAGACTGCCCTTTGTCTAAATTGTCAAGAAGAAAACAGAATGTGTTGCTCTTCTGCACTGACCTTTGTACTGAGCCGGAGAGAAGAAGCATTCTGTAGCAGAGCCGGATAGATGGGTTACAACCTTCTCCAGAAGGTCAGCCAGCACTGGGGAGTAAAGAGACACATATAAAAATATTTTAAATAACAGCTACCTTAAATACTGTGTTCCAAGGAAATGCACTTTACACTTCACATACTCTTTTTCTTCAGCTATTTTTAGAATGTGAATAACATCCTGTCATGAACTCCATTACCCTAACTGGTTTTGAAAGAGGCCTTTCCTGTATGCCACACAGTATGGCAGTTTTTATTATTAATGCTGATGATTAATACAGAGAGAAATGAAGCAGCGTTAGATGGATAATCTCTGACACCAAAGGTCTTGGCATAGCTGCAAAAACACATGTACTGTAATGGCATTGCATCGCTGTGCAAATGTGTATCCACTCATATCAGTGTACAGTTTCAGTGCACTGAGTAAATCCTGACAGCGTTGCTTTTAGTGTCACATCTCACTGCTGTGCAAAGTAACCACCCACAGTCACTGCAGATGTACTGGAAGGAACACAGGGAAACACTGGGCGATGAAGATGTTAGGTAAGCTAACACAAAATACAACACTCACAGTAGCAGCACAGTGGCGCAGGCACATAACTCAGATGGCTCAGGTCATGTTGTTCAACTTCCTTTTCCCCAGGTAACTGAGTCATTCTAAAGTGAGTGTTCCTGCATTTTTGTTGAATAAGTACTTGAAAGAAACACCCTATTTTATTGGAACTTTCTGCACTGACTCCACTATATGAAACAGATCACTATTTTGGAAGCTAGTTTTCTCGAGTTATGCTCCAACCTAACACTGTATGTGCATTTTGCATTATTTTAATTTAGTTGTAATTATTACTGAAATTATTCAGTGTGTCACAACACAATCTTAAACCAAGTATCTGTCTATCTCACCACTGACTTGAGTACGGAAGGTCAGGGGTTTGAACCCCAGTCAGGGCATGGTCAATATCCCGCCTGAGTCCTTAGGCATGGCCCTTAATGCTACCTGCCTACCTCATGGTAAATGACAGTTGAAAAATAAGAGTCACACCAGTCGCCCGGGTCAACAAGGTCCGCATCAGGTGTTGAGGAACCAGGGCAACCTGATGAGAAGTGGACTATTGGAACAAGACATTCATGGACAAGAGATGAGAACAGGGAACTATTGGAATGCTACTACACAAGTAACCCCAGCGAGACGGGTTACATACAGAGGATGTGGGAGCTATGGATACTCCGAAACCCAACATCTAGACTAACATCGAAACAACTAGTACAGTAGCTCTGTGCTCTAACATTTGCAAGAAGCACCTGCTCTCACAAGTAGAGACTGACGAGGTACAACACGCCAGGTCGGGGGGAGGGTATCATCATCACCCCCACAATCGGAGATTGGGTACCAAGCCCCAATAACAAGCCCAGATGAGCTTAATTCAAGAGCAGCTGACCTGAGATTAGGGCTGGGCGGTATATCGATAAATTAACTTATATCGATATAATTTTAAACGCGGTGTTTAATTACGCAATACCGTTTATACCGCGGTATAAAATTAAAGGACGAGACGAGAGTCTATCTTCATCAGGCTCTCTCTCTCTCACTCACACACATCTGCACCCTGTCCACACTCTTCCACTGTGCATGCGGCCAGTGGAAGTCAGCGGCTATTTTCAACTCAGCAGCATAGAAGCAGCTCAGGCTCCGCTCGACACGAGTGACGAAGTTTTGTTATGTAAAAAGAAAAGCACTGGTTCATTAGTTTGGAAGTGGTTTGGTTTCAGAAGAGATGATGTCGAGCAAAAAAAAAACATAATTTGTAGACTGTGTCACAAAGAAGTTACATACAAATGTGGAAGCACAACAAATTTGTACCACCATTTACAGCAATGCCACAAACTCCAGTACCAGGAGTACATGAAACTTCGGCATGCTACAGCCACTGCTCCCACAACATCTAAACCGCCAGAATTAAAGTCCTCCTGCCTGCCGTCCACCTTGACACAAAGCCAGCTGCAAACTGCATTTAACTGTGGTGTGCCGTACAAAAAAAAAAAGTGCAAAGTGGCATGAAATTACAAATGCAGTAGCATACCATATTGCAAAGGACATGGCCCCTATTGCCACAGTGGAGCAAGATGGATTCAAAAAACTACTGAAAGCACTTGACCCTAGGTACCAGTTGCCCTCGCGCAAGTATTTTGCACGAGAGGTGCTGCCAGAAATGTATACGGATGTCCGGAAGACACTTAACGCCCGGCTGGCTAACGTGACGAATTTCGGACTAACTACAGATCTGTGGTCAAGTCGGACATGCGAGCCTTACATGAGCATGAGGTCACATTTTATTGAAGACTGGGAAATTAAATCAGCGTGTCTCCAAACAAGCTATTTTCCTCAGGATCATACTGGAGAACACATTGCAGAGGCCCTGAAGGACACTCTCTTGTGCTGGAAGCTGGAAGAAAAGTGACTAGTTGCTGTTACAACGGACAACGGAGCCAACATTGTCAAAGCAGTGGAAATAAATGGGTGGCGAAGGATGCAGTGCTTTGGTCACCGTCTTCATCTGGCTGTTGGTGAGTGGTGGTCTAATGGATTTTTGGCTTGACTGTGTTTATGGGGTGCGCAGCAACATTAAACAACATGCACAAATATGGGAGTATATCATAACATTTTGTAGTCTTCTAACAGATTTTCTGCTCACCATTCAAGTAAAAAGATACTTTTTCTGACATTTCCATTTTAGAACATTATTTTAGAGGTTCAGTTCTAAAACTGTTAATAAACATTCTTATAATATCACATATGCCTTTTGACTTTGAACTTAACTGAACATTGTGTACAAGGAAATACCGGGATATAAGAGGTATATCGTGACACGTAAAAATTATACCGGGATATGAATTTTGGGCCATATCGCCCAGCCCTACCTGAGATTGAAGATCATGAGCAAGACACCAGGACTAAGTGAAGTGCCTTCTGAAAGTCTACTAGAGGATATGAAGCACTAAGAACAATCCCTACTATGACCATCACTGAGACCAACAAGCTCATATACACCACAGCAACCGTGATCCTTGAGATGCTTGGCTATAAATTCAACAAAGACCATAAGGTGTATTATCCTCCATAGAGAAGGAGTTTGGAAACCAAGATCAAGGCAGCAAGGAGAAAAGTTAGCCAGCTATCAGAATTGCAGAAAGGTGTGATGAACAAAGGGGTACCTAAGAAGTACAACACAGTGCCCATACCTGAGGCCTTAGAGACTGCCAAGCAAAGGCTCACAGCCCTGGCCACCCGCTTGAAGAGGGACACCAGAGAAGTTGAAGCCATGAGCGCCTGGCGGGACAAATGAACCAGCTACTAATGGATGGAAACCACCCTGAGTGGTTAACTGAAGGCCAGACAGTCCTGATCCTGAAGGACCCTCAGAAGGGAGCAGTACCATCCAACTACCGCCCAATAACCTGCCTCTGCACAGCATGGGCAGGCGCATGGTTCAATACATGAGCAGTGCTCAGAAAGGAATTGGTAGTAACATCAGAGGAACAAAGCACCAGCTACTAGTTGATAAGGTAGTCACTCGAGACTGCAAGACCAGACATACCAACCTGTGCACTGCCTGGATTGACTATAAGAAAGCCTATGACTCAATGCCTCACACATGGATCCTGGAATGCTTGGAATTGTACAACATCAACAAGACTCTAAGAGCCTTCATCAAGAACTCAATGGGAATGTGGAAAACAACCCTAGAGGCCAACTTCAAGCCAATTACACAAGTCAACATCAAGTGCTGCAAGGGAGATGTTCTGTCCCTGCTGCTGTTCTGCATAGGACTGAACCCCCCAGCCAGATCATCACCAAGAGCGGTTACGAATACCGACTACAGAATGGAGCAACCATCAGCCACCTCCTCTACATGGATATCAAGCAGTATGACAGGAGTGAATGAGACACTGACTCACTGATCCACACCACTAGGATCTATAGCCAGGACATCGGAATGTCATTTGGACTGGATAAGTGTGGTTGAATGGTAACGAGGAGAGGGAAGGTAGTCAGAACTGAGGGGACTGTACTACCAGAAGGCAACATAGCAGATGTTGAGGACAGCTACAAGTACCTTGGGATTCTGCAGGCAAATGGGAACCATGAAGAGGCTGCAAGCAACTACCAAGTAAGTGAGGCAAGTTCTGAGAAGTCAGCTGAATGGAAAGAACAAAGTCCGGGCAATTAACACCTACACCCTGCCGGTCATCAGGTACCCCGCTGGCATAATAAGATGGCCAAAGGAGGAGATAGAGGCCACTGACATCAAGACAAGGAAGCTCCTTGCACAATGCACAGTGGGTTTCACCCCAAATTCTTGAGTTGCCTTTGTGTTTATTTTGTAGGTGGTAATTTGCAGTGCTGTTTAACTGTAGTTCCTTATACTGGGAGGTGTTAGTCTGTCATCACTGATGTCATAATTAATTTGGCCTTGCACCTACTGAAATGCTATTATGTAGAACAATAGCACCAACAATAGTCCATTTCAAGTACTGCACTGAATTAATGTAATCTATTTTAATGTTAACTTTTTCATTCATGTGTAACTGTTAATCAGTGACTACTGATGGTCACTTCCTACTCAGAAATTGTTTTGGCTCAGATCTGGATAACCCCTGTCATATGATAAATAAAACTGAATACATTTGATCTTATCTGGCCCTGTAGTTGAAAAATTACTCCTTTCAAGTCAATTTAAATTGCGTTAAAAGTAGATACTGTACAATCACAATCATAGATTTTTATATGTAATACAAGTGTTATTGTTGAACTAAGAACTTCATGGAAATATACCCGAGGGTGTTAGCTTGAGCACTTCCCACTTAGTATTTAAAAGTCAATATAAAAACTCTCACATAAAGCATTATGAAAAACATGACATTAGTGAAGTTATGGTCATGTAACTGCTTAACACGCAACAAAGCAAAAAAAGCTTCTGGTAAAAAAAAAAAGTTATGTTACATCCTTATTCACAGCAATGCAGCCTTGTGATCATTTTACTAGTTGTCTGTTGAGATTGCCTGCAGGATTTATAATGCAACTCAGTGACTGTGCACCAGTGAATGCGTCTCACTTACATGCTGATGAAGGAGACCAATTAAATGATCGATATGCTGACAAGACAGTGACGCATTGAACTGCAAACAGTTCTAATCATGGGTGTTTTGATGGATAGTATACAGTAGTTAATCATTTTCTTCTTGCAGCTGAATACAAGTCTGTGAAAGACAAGTGATAATCACCCCTTCTTCATATGCAGAACTAGGAAGTAGGTTAATTTAGCAGCCAGACTATACAGGGTATAATTTCTTTCATTTAATGTTTTTTAAAAAGTGGGGGCTTGCATGGTGAATGACATGCCAAATAAACCAGCACTTCCACAGCAGAGGGAAGCTCAACAGATAATAGATCTTGATCATGGTCTTCCAGTGAAAAGCCCCTAAATGAGCCCCACAGAACACAGAGTGGATGCTTTTACAGGCCAAGTTCAACAGTGCACTGATGAAAGGAAGCAATCACTGTATAGCACATGCATTAATAAGTAGATTTGCAGCTCTCATTCATTTGAATGTATTTTTGTCCTCCTTGAATCACACCTATTTGCTCATATGTAGAGAAAGTAGGCGTCAGTGCCATTTCATAAACAGTGACATTCGTGGTGATGAGCTCGTAAAAGTACAGGGACATTAGGTATTTTACAGAATCCTGGTATAGTGGGGTGCACGATGCACCTGCAGCACGACGGTAAATATCAGCAGATAATGTGGTTAAAAACACGGTGCAGTATAGTCTGACTGTATCGTATAGGATTTCTGCTGTTTGTCCTCATTATTCCTACACTTAAAATGACCACACAGCTAAAAAGAAACTGACAATGGCACACTGTTACCTCACAACTAGTTCACCCACGTGAACTTGTGTATGCAAACTAAATGCATGAAGGTGCACACATTCCTTCAGCATATCACTTGACCTTCAATAAAACATAATCTGGAAACAAATGGTGCTGATCAACTTGCTTGAGTGCAACAGTGAGAATTAAAATCAAAAGATGAAATCTGGACATGCAGTGGCTAACATTTTGTCTCTAGGATGCACATAATGATGTTCCTCTGGCTCCATTATTTTATAACATGTATTTTACACTGAATTCTCCTTGACTATTATCATTGACTGTAAAAACAATGAACAGGCTAAGAGATCCCAGAAGCGAAGCCACCAAAACTCAATCGCCCCCTGGTGGCTGGATGCAGTATAGGTCCTAAATCCCACGTGTTTTTGGTAAATACATCATGATGATGTGCGTACAAAGGGTTGTGTTTCAGGTGATCTGACAACTTTGATTGGTGGTCTGATGCTGTCACAACCCTATTTGTATATAATCATGTAAAATATCCTGGGCAGATCAGAGAGTTAATTAAAAAGGTTTGTGGCTAAGAGTGCACTGATTCTGTGGGTCTGGTAGTGGTGTTAGTGAAAGCCTGTCAAGACAATAAAACTCACTGTAGCCCAATAATGCAATTCATAGTTGCTAGCAGATACCGATTACTGCTAAATGTTGACTAAATTGCTCAAGTGCACAATTCACTCTTCCTCTGGTATTTTTGGCAGCAGTAAAACATCATCGGGTCCATTACCATTGCCCTCTGTATTGGAGTGGATTTTACTTGTTTTGTAACCAAACACTCAACTACTAAAAATGGCTGGTGGGGCACTCATGAAACACAGAGTGCCCTCTTTGTTACTATTTGGTTTGCTGTTCTTGCTAATAGCACTTGTTTCAGTCTTAATTTTATTTACTTTTTTCTTAAGCTTTTAATCTTTTTATAAGTTTTGATGTAATTTGTAGTTAATCTTCCCACATCTTAGTCAACAATAGGAGTCATTTGCCTCAACAGTTGGCAGCTACCCAGTGAAACCAGTAGCTTACCCTTTCCAGTTAAAATGTTGGGTTTGGAGGTCATGACTTTGTGGTACTGTCTCTGACAAATCTCCATCCAGCTCTCCTCATTCTGTGTGTCTTTAGATGAAGACAGAAACCCACTGATCTCAGAGTCTGTACAACGAGAAAAGATGGTAGATGAAGAAAAAAATAATAATCACAAATAATGCACCAGTTAAAAAATGGCAACTTCATGAACATTTCTCTTACCTTGTGAGTTATGGTGGCTCTTTGGTGGGTCCAGGGTGTAGCAGGGAGGTAGAGGATAGCTTGAAAACATTGGCCACAGGTAAGGATGTTCTCCCTGGAATGAGTAGATAAAGAAAATCACTTAACTACATGATCATTTCACCATAATGTAATAAACAATATGCCATTTCTGAATTGAAAAACACATTCATCACCAGCTTGGAATGCAGTTGTGATGGTGAATAAGACAGCTAGTCTCATTCAGCCTACATGATTCATGATACTTGCATCATCTTCTTTGATTCATTTCTGCAGTGCACTGACTAGACAGTTGTTATAGCCATTTATGGGTTTGCTGGGTTATTGATGTGTCATTATGCTGTTCAGTTAGCATTTGTTTCTAATTTAATATACTAAAGAAATGGTGATGACAGTATTTGATGACAGCATTTAAAAAAACTTTTTACTATGAGCTATGACAACTATTCAGTGTTTGGCAGTTAAAAAGTGACTTGTGGATACATTCATCACTGCTCAATTGCTTAGCACCCAGCTGCTAGCAGTTCATCAAACTAGGTGTTTGTTCATAGTTGTATGCCATCAGTCCTTTCCTACTTTATTTTTCTCTTCCTTCCTTCTACTCTTTTTTGTGCTGCAAGTTACTATCATTTAGTGTTGCATTCATTACAATGGCCCTAACTAACTAACTTACTTCTGAAGAACCACAACTTAAAAGTCATAGCTCAGCATGTGACTTGCCAAAATAATTTTCTCTAAAGGCTCATGGGGTTTAGAAAGCTGGCCTCTTTATCTCTGTACATTATAGTCCATGGACCCCTAAATTTCAAACAATATGACCAAGAATATGACCTTGGTGTGCTCAGTCATAGCTATAGTCCTGCATGTAGGGCATAATATGAACCACTTTGACAGTTTAGGTCACAATGTCTCCTGGTAAATTAGCTCTTTTGTGCACAGTTTAGTTTTTATGAAAAATTTAACCATGTGTATGGAGCCATCTTTGGGTATGTGTTATGGTTGAGTCCCCCTCACCAGGGGAGTGAGGGAGAACTGAGGTATGACTCAATGTGCAGACCCAGGTGCTAGTGAAAAAAAAGGTGGGCATAGACAAAGAAACAGAGGCAATATACAGTACTGAACCAGGGTAGGGCAGAGACAGTTGAGGAGACCAAGACGAGCAGATGAGTAGACAGAACAACGGCAGGAACCAGAAGAGTGAGAGGACTAGGACAGACAGGTGAGTAGACAGAACAACCAGGAGGATTAGCAAACGCCGTCAGAAGCAGAGTAGCGAACGAAAAAGGAACTGTCAGCGTTGAAATCAAATTACGCATGCCCAAACACATGGAAACAATGTACAAAAGAAAACCACAGCACATGAACTGTCAGCGTGGAAATCAAGAGACGTATAATACAAAAAAAACACATAACCAACGTACAAAAAGAGATCCACAGCACAGGAACTGTCAGCGTGGAAATCAAAGAGACGTACGACACATACCATGTATACAGGTATGTTTACAGGTAATGCTCCGGCGATGATGGAGCGTCTGCTAGGGATTTAAATGAGGAAGGGCAGTAATCACTGGAATGCACCAATGCAATGCACAAATTACCAAATGTTACACAGCTGAGGTGCAGATCCCGCAGGTCGAGAGAGAGAAAGGAGGAAGAGAGGCAGGCGGCGCCGAGCGGACCTGACAGTATGCTTGACTCATGCAGAAATGTTTTAGCTAACAGACAACAGTTTAACTACTGACAAATGAAATATTTGAGCTCGTCTATAGTGAAAATTCTAAACATGGTTGAAAATGTTTCATTTGAAATGTCAGAAATAACCTTTGTTTTAACACAGTGATGCTTCTCTTTTCAATTCCTACCAAGAATAAATCAGTTTTCCTTTTTTTGTTTGTTTTTTTAACCTTTACACAAAACCAGTACTTATTTAAGTACTTACTTTCTGGTCTTTTTATTTTCTGCACATAACAGGAGAGTGAATAAATGAGACCTGTGAAACATGAAGGAAACACTCACAAACTAATTTACACTCTCCCCTTTAGAAATCTCATTCATATCATTTCTTTGACCTCAGCATAAATTAGTTCCTGTTTTGCACTCAGCATAAACAACACCTAAATAATTGATATCTCTCTCAAAACATGCTGAGTAAATATGGCTGCAGGCTTCAAATGCAGACTGAAGCCCAGTTGGTAATCAGTACGATGTTTTCCATCTGTAATAAAATTACCAGTAATGCAAAACTGGAACAGAAATGGATGGCCAGATTTTTGTATTGCTGGATCATGACCACAGAACGTGTCTATCAAAGAAAAATGATTTGTATTGTGTGAATAAATTAGTTTTTAAAAAAATATATATGTATGTCTATACACATACACATATATAAAACGACGGAGGAGTCACTATGAAACTGCAATAGTAAAATTTCCCTATTTCACAAAGTTAATTTCTGACCAAACAAAAAAACTATTGCACACCGTGAAACAATGCAATGAGAAGCAATAAAACTCCCAAAGTTAATTTAACAGCAATATAGGTTTGTATCAGTCTGTCAAGCTGTTCAAACAGATGTCAGTGTGATTGTCTTCCCCAGAAGACACTTAGGAAAACATGAATCAAAAGATAGTTGACTGTCTTAAAAAAAAAAAAAAAACCAACTTCAGCTCCTATTAAAGAAACACAGAGTTGTAGTTTTCTTCTGTGCAAGAATTCAAGACTTATCGATCCGGTTGACAGGTGGGAACTAACCGGAGGGTGTATCGATTCAGAACAATTGGCACAATCTATGGTTGGTTCAATTTGTTCAGTACAATGCAAGCATACAGCAGCTGACCTCTTGGAGGGCTCGAGGGGGAAGCATCCTTTCAGACGGACCTCCCACCACACTGACACGAACCAGCACGTGATTCCTCTCCACTGACAGACTGTCTATAATGAACTCCCTGAGAAGGGAGAGAAAGGGAAGAGAAAAGAAAAGAGTAGACAAAAAAGTATGTCAGCACTGTTTCTCCAAAACAATCAAGTGAGAAAAACATATGAAGGAAAATGGTCAAATTAATCTGAATCACACCCACTAATATTTCCCCAGTTTAGTGCAGCTGAGTAAGTTTCTTTGTGCAAACTTTTATATGACTTTTCAGGGTCTGAAGCCTCTGAAAAACTGCAACTATATGATCAGAGAATATTCCAATTATTAAGGCAATGCAGGGCGGAGGGTGTCGGCCTTGGTGGACTGTTCTGATAGCTAAAGTAATTTACGCTTGCAACTGCAAATAGAAGGGGACTACTTTCTTGTACAGTGCTCATTCCAAGAGCCTGTTTGCCACAAAATGTAATCTGCATATATTTTGTGGATAAAACAAAGTCATATCACTCATGGCTCAAACACGTCAAAGGTAAAATAAAATGTGCAGATTGACCTCACAAAGTAGCTCTGGTGAACTCAGGTGTAACTGATATTATATCCTGTCAGAACAAAAGAGAAAAATGAGAGTTGGGGGAAGGACAACAAAAAATAGGGTAAATCAAAAGTCTAATGCCAAAAAGTAAAGTTTAAATGACACTGAACAGGAGGAACAGGGAGGAAGGTAAAAGAAAAAGAAGAGCTAATGATATCAGTGATGATGATGGGAGCATGAGGAGAAGAGAGGGCAGGAAAGGGAGATGGAGGAATAAATTAACAAGTCATCATTCTCCAGAATTGAGCCAGCACTCAGACATGTGATGCGAGTTGACATTTCAGGGACATTTCCATTCATAACCAATAACCGCATCCCTGCCAGCCATTACAAGGAGAAAGAGGCTCTTGAACACTCACTTTCAGAAATGGCCTTTTCACTCTTTTTCTGCTTTATTTCATCTTATTCATGATGAGGCAAACAAACAAACAGCTTCTCACCCTGAGCAATGATTAAATTTGAAAGTGGACTGTCATATCAAGATGATGCACAGAGGAGCAAAAAGCTTTTACTAAACATACAATGAATGTATGACATTTGAATATGCTCAGTATGGCTGAACTGTCTAGATGTGTGAAATAACTTCCTTCAGTTCAACTCAACCCTGCCTTGAGTCATTTCAGCTTTTAAGAAAGCATGCTTTGAAATGTCGAGACAAAGTAACGTCCAAAGATGAGCATTACAGGAGTCCTACATTATGAAAAATAGCTCTGTCCAGAGTGAAAAACACCCAATAGTGCCTTTAAAGTTCACTAATTAACACATTGTCTCATGTTTTTGATCCATTTACAAATATGAAACAACGGCCAAAATAAAAACTCAAAGTACATAGCATATACATTTTTCCCAGAGGTCACTTGTGTGTTTTTTGGTCAATATTATCACACTGATATGTGTACAAGTGGTCATTTTTCTGGTGAGGTTGTTTTTAATAAGTTATTTGATGATATAAAAAGAGGTGCATTTCAGTTGATTTGACAGCTTTAATTTGGCGGCCTGATGCGGTCACTCTACTTCTGGTTGCTACCGTGAAGAATCTGGTTGCAAAAATGCAAGATGGCCGCCGCCATACTCACGATATTTTGGCTTCATTTTTGCATAGTGGAAGGAAGTGGTGACGCCATGGCCACTGAATACATGTCTATGTCAGAAACCAATAAAATGTGCTTGTCCCTTATTCCTTTCCAACTTAAGTTACATTATTTCAGTTAAATGACATGTTCTCATACACTTGGCTCAAATGTCAAGAAGTGTAATAAAGAAGCTGCATCATATTACCAATAAATATTTTTGAATATATTTGAGATTTTAGTAAACCAATGTCACTTTAATACAATTCAGTATTTTGTAAGAGCTACCATACTAATAATCCCTGTGGTCCGGTGATAAGACCACTACAACAGAACTGCATTAGTAATGGACAACAAACACTATACTTTCAGGCGTACTTCATACCCCTGGCTGGTGTCTGGCTCAGTGACATTCTCCCTCTGACACTGCAGCAGCATGGAGCAGATGCTGTACTGGCTCTCCAGCAGCAGAAAAGAGTCCAGATTAGTGCAGAGCACACTGAGCAGTCTGCAAAACACACAAACACCACCAAGACATTACAATACAGAGAAGACTGGCACTGTGAGATACTACAACAGAACAGCAGCACCGAGCCCTCAAGGCTGTAACGTAATGCATACATGTACTGTACAAGCAGACAAAACCCCCATTTGGACTTTGGTTGTCCATGTCCTCTGGCCTCGTATGCCTGCGGGTGCTGGATCACTCAACACAATTTTCTTCTACCAGCTCGCCATAACCTATTGTAAGCTTTGTTAAGTAGGAACCCCTGGGGAAAGCTTCATGGTTCATTTTCAGTTGCTGGTAATGACACAAGATTCAGCAGGCTGTTAAGCTCCCGCAGCACTTTGAGACATTAAAGTGGAAAGGAAAACTAAGAGTCTTGTACTCATACTGGTCACAGTTTTATTAGTAACAATTTATTCATTGTGAAAGAAATATAACTAGGATAATCACAAAAATCTAAAGGGATCAAGGAAGGTAACCCGTGTCTGAAGACCTAATTTCACTTCCCCACCACCTTCTCCCACTGGCACCAGGGCTTTTCTTAATTTAGACAGCATTTAAGTCCATATCACAAAGGTCCCATATGCGTGTCACCAGTGTGCAGCATTAATCACAACAATATTGTCTTCCTGCTCTCCAGACTACCCCTACAATTAACTCTGTCAAAATTGGCCATGCATATTAGGTTTCTTTCAAAGTGTTCTTCTCATCATGTCAGATGATGCAAGGTGGCCTTTGTTTTTCACATTTAAACCATTCATGATTTGACTGCATCTGGTTATCTGAAACAGCAGCAGTATCAGCCAATCTCTTGGCCTTTTTTAGGTTTAAGGTTGTTCAAGTCTTCAAATCATGAAGAAATCTGTTTTGTTCACTCCAACTGTGCACATGCATAACATCTATGTGCAAGTTCATTTCCTTTTCATTTCCTTCTTCATTATCACAGCTATTTGTTAGGACTTTTTTTTTTTTACATAAGCCACGAGAAAGAACAAATGAACGGTAAAGTGAAGAGAAATGTCACTGTGTTGTTCTTGAATATTTAAAAAGGTTTAAGGAAAAAAAAACTGTATCCTGCCTACACAAAATGTCACTTCAATTCTAATTGTGTGCAGTCTTTTACTGACTACTGCATGTTTTGGTGCTTGGTGTGCACGGTGAGTGCGTTAGTCCTTGAAAGACATCTCCACCTTGAAAGCAGCTGCTTCATTTCCTGATGTGCAGAGAAGCTGCTCAGACACCTGTTTGACTGACAACTCTACTCACCTGTTCTGACTGCAGCACAGTGAGAGGCTGAAAGTCCGTCAGGCCTTGTGACCTCTCAGTGTTTGAAACCAAGAACAGAGTACCAGGCAGTGTGCTGCTTTGATAGTCTCCACCACATTTGATGAAAGAAGCCTGACTGTCCAAGCACAGGCTGTTTATGCTCGGCTTTTCTAAATAGCACTACATTGGTAACTTTAGAAAAACACTAAGGGCTTTCATCCTAGGGCTGCAACAGCTATTCTGTTTATTATCAGCTAACTCTTTTTTCAACGAATCGCTTTCTCTATAAGAGAACTGTGAAACATGCCAGTACAATTTCCCATGTTAATCAAAGCTGACATAGTCCAAAGCAGTCTAAAACCTAAATATATTTGTTATAGTAGAAGGATGAGAAACAAGTTACAAGTTAACTAGTCAATCATAAGATAATCTCTCTGAGCTCCTCTCCTCCACATGTTATTTTTACATAAAGGAAATACTATAGGAAATCATTTTAATTGTGAAAATGCTAGGAAACCCCCCAAAATCTAAGAGTTTGCAAGTTCTGCACTTAGAGACAAATCGGTAGCAAAGTCACTCTGTACAAATGAAAAAATGCTTTAGTTAATGAGCCATACATTTCCTGGTAGCAGCATGAAAATCCCACAGGCTGTCTACAAACATCAATTAGAAGCTTCAGGTGGATCTCAACACTGCAGGCAGCTCCCAACAGCACCATGAAACCTCAGGGAATCTCAGCTTTATGAATCTGTCATTACTGAGCCTGAAACAAAACAAGGTATTCTGACCCAGGTGCTTTCACATCCTACTTGTTTGATGCCATTAACTAAATTCTGAAAATATTTGTTTTCTTTTATTTATTCCCAATCTATTCTAATCTGCTTTGTCTGGGAAGGAGAGATGACCACAGCTGAACTCCGGTGAGGCCAAAATAACTCTGACCTGTCATAAATGATTACAGCTTAGCTCTATTTCAATGTGCCTATCTAAACTGTGTTGTCTGAATTCCAGATACATAAAGACTGCAACAGTTCAACTGCATCGGTGTTAGCAAGACTTCAACAAACCGAATTCAATGTCAGTATGCTTTTAAAATTTTAGGATCATGTTCCTAATAATGTATGTTGTGCTTGTAAAGAACATCAGTCAAATCGGGTTAAACATGTGAAGTTCTGCACCAGCGCGCACACAGTTTTTTGTTTTTGGCCATCAATAGCACAGAGAGAATAAAGGTATTCAAACAATTTGCACTGAGAGAAAACGGGGAGGAAGAGAGTTGGTTGCCATGACAACTGAAGCAACAAGGAAAAGGGGCTGAGGGATTTTAGCCTGCGAAGACCAAGTACGATGGAAACTGAGGCCTGTTAAACCTGCTTCTTCTGTGCCATTCAGTCCTGTTGTTGTCCAACCATTATTAAGGACACATCAGTGAGCCCCACTGTTACACAGGATGTCATAGTCGATGACTGCAGCAACCGAGGGCACTGTGGTTTATTCAGCCAGTTCCAGATACAACATCATGTTGCCATGAATATTCACTGTGTATAAACCTGCAGCTGAAAATAGTAACCAATAAACGCAAAGAAGTGGACAATTCATTCAGCTTTTTTCCAGTTGATTTGTTTTGTTGATTTTAATGCCCTCTGGGTAACTACTTTTTCTAAATTATGGCTTGTTATTTGTTTATGTTAGATGAGCCAAACGTCCAGAGCAGAGAAAAAATTAACTAAGCTTGACTGGAATTTGTTTTGGGATCTTCAAAATTTGAATTTACCGTGTTACTCAAAAGTTACTGGTTTAAAGCAGTTACAGTATACCTTAAGTTAACATGAATTATTGATATGTGAAGTAAAATGCTACATTTTAGCGAACTCCTGAGAGGCACAGAGTGTCAGTTTGTCAGTTAATCCATCAGTCTGGGTGGTAAATGAATAGAGCATCTTGCTCCTTTCACTTGGCCTCTGGGTGTTAACAGGAGTGGGCTGACTGAGAAGCAGAGACAGAGTGAGTCAGCAAAGCTCCAAACAAGTCACAGCTATTGTGATTTGGAAATCTTTTAACAAGGCAAAAGGAATGCACAGCAGCCACCAGAGCATTGCACATACAAACCAAGACATATACTGTATGTCTGCGTATGTAAAAACAAGCCTTTTTATGTCCCACAGACACATTTTAGCCATTTTAGTTCACTGTAACGATCAAGCTTGGTGTAAGTCTTACCTAACATTTAACATCCCATTTTTACAGTACAATATTAACACTGCCCTCTACTGTGACCCTACCACTAATTTACAAAACTGAAGTAGGTCTTCATTTTAGAGGAATTTCTTTACCTCCTTCACCACCCTTCTCACTTGAAAGGATGTTTGTGCTTCATAAATATAGAACTACGCACCCGCACAACCAAGCTTATTTCTCTCTTATCCACAGAAATCCTTTCATCAGCCTTTCAGCGCCAGGTAATCACAGTATAAGAACCATGTCAGTCTGCTACTGCCAGAGACTGAAGTGTGTGTGTGCGTACATGCCTTGTGTGTGCATGTGCAGTCACCAGGTGTTAATCTGATATTGTGTGTTTCGCCACTAATGTTAAATGACATGAGGGAAAAAAAGGAAAAATAAAGAGTCTCACCTCAGCCCGAACGTGTGAGACTGCTCATAGTGGAAAAGGGAGTGAATCTTTGCATCTGAATTCACAGCAATCAGCCGGTCAATCAAATCCTGTAAAGTGAAACGAGAGGCTGTGAAAAAGAATACAGCAGTTATGATGCAAAACAAAAACCGTGTGGCTAGTTACTGTACACTGTGTAAGGTGAAAAATGTACATCAGACTCAGTGCATGCTTAGAGGGAGGCCTAAAACAAACTAGTGGATAGTGGTTGTAAGGGAAATCTAAAGAGCAAACATGCCCTCAAATGGCTGAAAAAGGCAATGCATGAAGTCTGAACTACACAGCGTGAGTCACTCTCACAATAATGGAAGTTGGCATTTCTCTCAGGGTGTATTCAGTCTTATTGGCTAAAGGCTGTCGGCCCAGCAGCTCCCACACCGAGTGGGAGGAGGAGAGCAGGCTGACCAAGGACAGGAAGGGCTGGAGAAACAGAAGGTGACAAAGAGAGGATTATAGTAAATATTAAAACACAAGAAGGAAAAACATGTGCACAGGTTGAAATCAAAGTTAAAACTAAGGGCTCAAAACTATTCCTAACTGGGCTCACATCACACTCAAAGTGAAAATTCAAGTTGTGCATGTGTATATTCAGTCACCAGGTACTAGGGAATACGAATACCACACTTAAAAATATATTATGTATAACATTCACAAATCAAGAGTTTTTGAAAAATCTCAGTTCTTTCATCTGCTCCTGTCTGATGTTTCACAACCTGGTAAATATTTTATTGTCTGTGTGTTTTCCAACACAAAGATGACTCCAAGACACTCAACAAAACACCTGACTCACAAAAAGGTTAAAATGTTACCCACACAACTGCATAACAATACAACAAATGCTGCTGTAAACAGTCTATGTACACATCAGGTTTGCTTTGCTTCAGGCCAAGCCACAGAACATCATACACACATTTAATTGCACAATTCATCTGTTGTCAACACAAGCTCAGTTCTGGGGCTCTGCTGTCATGTACAGTTTGTGGTGGACTTCAAGCTCATCCATGGAACTTCAAAGTTGACCCAAGTCATCAGTGCCAAGGCACAGTTCGCACTTTACTGGCTGCCCATATTCAGTTTGCTGCCTGGCAATATTAATACAAGCATAAAACATACAACAGCAGGGAAAACAGACAAAGTTTGATCCATTACTTAGAATACACATTCTGGTATAAAACGGCAGTTCACACACAGCTATCTTTATGAGGACACTCAGTGACTTAACGCATTTTGTCAGTACCCCTAAATGCCTAACCCTTGCTCTAACCAAACCTAATTCTAACCTTGACCCTAAAAGTTCTAACTCTCAAGCAGCCCTTTGAAGGTGTGTCACAGTGAGGACAGGCCAAATCATCCTCACAACTGAGGCATGAAACTCAAACTGGTCCTCACAGTGTTTAGCCACATAAGTACACTGCCCTCCTACACACACACACACACAGTACCTTGAGGCAGCTCCTGTCTATGGAGTCCATGGGAGTTGGTTTGGGACGGACCATGCTGACATCTTCACTTCCACACTCTAGAGTTGACCACAGCTCAATCACCAGCACCCGGATGAAACCTGCAACACAGTAACATCGTGCACTGCATTTTGGACCAACTGGAGCTGAGACAATGAAGCTTGAGAAATGCCAGTATAAAGTGTGTTACAATAATCTAGTCTCGAGCTATTAAAGGCATGAATTGCCTTTTCAAAATCACTAAAAGAAAGAAAGTGTTTAAACTTAGCCAGAAGTGTCAACTGAAAAAAGCTGGCTTTGACCACAGATTTTATCTGTTCATCCAGCTTAAGAGCACCATCAAATACCACCCAAAGATTCATCACGAGGCCTCCTAGGAATATCAGAATTAGCAAAACCTGAGTTACCAATTAAAGCACATTCTGTCTTACTTTCATTAATATGTAAGAAATTATGTGATAACCATGCTTTAATGTCCCTCAGGCAATCCATCAAGGCATGTAATGAGTTGCTCCTCTTGACATTCAACGGCAAATAAATTTGAATATCATCTGCATAACAGTGAAAAGACAACCCATATTTCATAAAAATGGATCCTAGGGGAAGTAAATACAAAGAAAAGAGGACTGGCCTAAGGATGGATCCCTGAGGAACATCACAGTTCAGAGGAACAACAGAAGAAGACAAATCATCAATGTGTTCAGAAAAACTCCTATCAGACAAATATGATTCAAACCACTTAAGAGCAACGCCATGAAGTCCTACAGACTGCTGCAGATGGGATAACAAAATACGACGGTCCACTGTGTCAAAAGCAGCCGAAAGGTCTAAGAGAATCAAAATAGCAGTATTTCCTTCATCCACAAAGATGCTGGGGCTGCTCAACGCCTGCTTTGCGTCAATGGGGCAACAACAACTTTGAATACTAGCCTTAAGCATCACAGCTGGCAAGTGTTTGTTTATGCAGATAGCTGCATTAGTACCTGAACTGTGCAAAGCCACTATGCCTGGAGCAGTTGCTGCAACCTGTGTCACCATCACCCCATATCCAAACTTCTCACAGCGGCTCACCTACAGAAACCACACAAAAGATGATTCAGCAAAATATTTCAGTATTTTATCTTTGTAGCTTTTGTTAATACAAGTTAAAAATGAGTAAGATGTTGAGACAGGATGAAAAAAAAAAACAGACTAGGTAAAGCAAACAAGACCTCGATTTTGAGGCAAAGGAAAAACTGTAAATTTGTGATTCAGTTTACAAACTCTGCTATGACACTGCTAGAATCCTGAAAATGCTAAACATGCACATAATGTAATTTAGTTTGCCAAAAGAAATTAAAATTGCAAATTGATTTTTGAGTGTATGGGCCCTTCATTAATTACAATACAATGTCATGACCAAAAATAGAGCAGTTATAATTACATTCCATAATTAAACTGAAATGCCAAACAAGAGAAGCAATTACAGGAGTGTATAAACAATGGAAGCAAATGAAGCCCACAGGGGATTAGCTAAGGTCTGCAGTAAGACTGAGTGTGTGTCTACAATATAAATCACGGACAATACTAAGTATGTAAGTCACATGTAGAGTCCAGATGTTAATAAATTAAACCTAGTGTGGGAGTAGCAGCATGCAACAGCCTCCAGGCTACTAGTGAATACTAAACAGCCTGCAGAAAATATGACTGGCCTTGAGGAGGAGCAGGAGGAACAGTGAGTTAGGGATACCAACGACAGGCAAAAGGATGAAGAAAAGTTTTTAAGATTTACATTATGTTCCACAGGATGGGCCATTATACAATACAAAATGCTTATTTTATTGCACAATTCCTTAAGCCCTGTGCATTCAGAAATGTGATCACAATTATATCAACCAAAACTGATAACTGTAGATGTAAATCTGATGAATTTTTTCTATAATCTAATGGCAACATTTTTATTCACCTGTTTGATTAAACTCCAGACTCATATATCTATGTATGATAAAAATTATTCTATTGCCAAAGGTGTATTTTTCCAAGCCAAGCAGTAACTTTTAATTCAGGTAAAGAAAATGAGTGACTTTCCTAATCCTACTACTGTTGTGATTTTGTCCAACATTAAGTAAAATAAAGACCTAGAGTTATACTTGTGTAGCATTCTAAAATATTACCTGTAATTTTTTAGTAAAGCGAGAGAACATGTAGGAGATGCACTCATTGATGGCGCCTGTCTGCTGGAGCAGCAGCAGGCCTTTAGGGGTTGCAGCAAAGTTCAAGAGGCTGTCCAACAGTGTCTCCTCCCAGAAGAGCCTGTCCCAAAGTCAGAGACAAAGTTAAGTGAGCCACAGTGTGATGCATTCACATCACACTGCAAGAAACATGGCTACTGGAAGTTAGTTCATTACTAAAAAAAAAAAAATCAAGGAAATCTGGGTAACGTACAGGTGGTAGATGCTTCTTAGCTGACTAATGCTTGATTTATGGTTCTGTGTTGAATCTACGCCATACCCACGGTGTAGGTAGCCTCATACCCTAGACCTTAGCCTGATGTGCACCTCCCCAGAAATGTAACTATCATCAGTGTATCAATGAATCATTTAGTTCGATAAGCGGTGTGCTTTAAAATGAATGTGCTCCAGCGCTAAGGCCAATTCCATGTAATTATATGAGAAGATGGTGTCAACTAAGTTCAACCTGATTTTATGAGCTCCTGGAAATCATTGACCACACTGCTTGTGAACCCTAAGTCAGGTCAGCATCTTGAATGTGCTGCACATTGTTCCCAGCACTTTAAGGCTGGTAAACTGAAAAACAGTGTTTTTGCATTTAAAGTGCACATACAATATGTTCAAAAAGCTTTTCATTTTTGGTATTTTCATGGTTTTCAATCACTTACTGTATCTCTTCATGCATGTAAACATATCAGAATGCACTGAGTAAGTCACTGGACCGTTAGTTGTAAAAATCTGTCCAAATGTCATCACTACTTCACTTCCAGAGAATAATGTTATCAAGCTGTGTGCGTGAGATCTGTGTGTGTGTGTGTGTAAAAATCTGTCCAAATGTCATCACTACTTCACTTCCAGAGATTAACGTTATCAAGCTGTGTGCGTGAGATCTCACATGTTTTGCAGTTCCTGGGTGGAGGCTCCAGTAGTGGCTCCAGGTACTGGGGTTGGAACCCTTTCTGACAAGGAACTGGTCTAGAAATAATGAAGGGAAATGTATTATTTAATGATTTTTAATCAATGCATGTGTATGAGTGTGTGGGCACATATGACAATTTTAAATACAGTTATTCACAGTCTTATCTTGCTCATCACTAAATGAGTCTACTGAAAACTACTGTCAGATCGCCATTAGTCTATCAGACACTATATTAATACTAAGAAAATGTTAAAAGTTTTCAAAACACCTACAGCAGCACCATCTCACAACAGTGTAGACCAAAGCTGTCATTCTGAAAAGTCAAACCTTTAACAGGTAACTGTGTTTCCCCAGTCAAGTAATAAAAAAATCATGCCTCCTTAAGATGCCTTCTGCAAACTTTGGGGGCCATTCTGGTGTCTGTGTACAGCAAACAAACTGAGGTAAGTATTGCAGTTACACTAATACAGCAAAAATGGATGTGGACTTAGAGTTGAGAGATCAATTAGGGCATGGTGCCGGTGTGTGACAGTGCAGTACGTGCAGGATGATGATTAATATTTAACACAAACGGGGTAAAGTCAGGAGGAAGTAAATGGGAAAATGTTGCAGATTGAAGCCATGTCATCACACAGAAGTTAATTTTTGACACAGATGTTTTTCGTTAAAGAGTTAAGAGTGAAATAGAAGTGGTTGCTAGACTGACACAAATCTACCACTGAGACATCAATGACATCTCATCCACTACCTGGAAGTTGATTTTGGTTTTGATTCTTGTTTTCACTTTTCCTTTTCAGTTTTGTTTTTCATTACAAACTGTAGTACTGAAAATATTCTGATGCTGAGGCTTTGTTATGACAGAAGCAGTATTCTACAAACTAAACAAAGCAGATGACAATGGTTAGTTAATTTCCCACCATTTGCAAGAAGCGGTGGTGCTTTTCTTGCTGCAGTGAATGAACACAGAGAGAATACTGCATTCATCAAGCAAACGAAACGTGACAGGAGTATTCTAGCCAGTCAAACTGATCATTAGACATGGACACCCCACCATTACATAGTCCAGAAAAAAGACTCAGAAACAAAGTTTAGCTAATATCTCTTACAATGTTTTTTATGGGTGGTTAGTCAAGCATCGCTCTTCAAGACAATATCTTCTTGCATTTACAGAATTTGCCAGTAATAAACAACCAATTTCACACAAAAACACCAAAAATATAATGCTAAATTGTTTTTAAATGTTTTAAATGGTTTGTTGGTTTTGTTTCTGCAAGAACTTTAAACTGTTTTGCATCAACTAAGCAATTCTTGGGTGGGACTTTTTGTCACAACCACCACAAAACCTCTGAGGTGTCCTTTTTTAGACTGTTCTAAATCCTATTACTATAAAGTTATGAAGCATGTGCACTTCTGACACAGTAAAAATAAAGTGGCTACAAAGGCCAGTCATGCTGTACATCCTCATTCCACTGAGTGTTACACCCAGAAATGCGGCCCAGTTACCTTTTTCCATGCAGCAGCTACAGCCTTGTGCAGGCCGTAGGGTCGGAGGACCTGCAGACCCTCACAGGTGTTGTACATCTGCCTACAGACAAAGATAAAAGCACCACACAATGTATGGGATGCATCAGATTCACTTAGCGATGACAGCTCCTCATCCAGCAGCTTCAGGGTCAACGACACAATGACATGAGCAGCAGAGGTTCTGCACAGAAGAGAGATAAGAGACAAAGAGAAAATGTTGTATGTGTAGGCTGTTGTGCTACAAAACATGCCATATGCAAGGTGTAACAAGGTGATTCAATTCCTCATCCCAATCGAAGACTTTCAGTGTCTGGTTTATGTGCTTTCACTTCCTGTTTTTGAAAGTAAATGATGGCACAATAACAGGCTGTTGGATAGACTGGTTCAACAGAAGTCAATGTCTTAGTCGGCCAATTATAAAAGAAAACCAAGCTAACCCGGAATGACTGACTGATAACTTAAAACATTTTCTAACAATATATTTTTCTGTAATGACACTTGATTTGAGACAAAGATACAATTACAGTGACTGACAAACCAAAAACCTCATCAGGCCTAACCTGCTCTCTGTACACAACCAGGAGGACTAGATATGCAAACTTTAATCTCTACTGAAGTCTTCAAGCTCAGTCAGGGAAATTACATTTATTCATCACAGTTCAATCTCGCTGTCTTACCTCTCACTGTGAGCCATAACAAGATTGTTCTCATATAGGAATAAAGCTAATCCTCGGTCAGTGTTCGCTATGCGAGCCAGAATGTCAGCGATGAGGCTAAGTGTTGCTGCAGCACACTTTAATTTGACCTGCAAACCAAAGGCAATACACAGACACAATTACCCAACAGCTTCAGAAACAAGTGGAATCCCTGCAGAGAAGTGAACAGACACTGAAAATTAAAATAACATCATTAACTTGATGGAACTGAGAAAAAGCTATTATAATTTCATAACCAATGCTTCCACAGTTTCAGTTTGTGAAAGGCTGACAGATGACAAAACTGATTTCACGGCTACTTTCTTGTGTCCTAATATGATTGTAACAAACACTTTAGGATACAGGTATGTTGTTAGAATCAAGGTTAAAAACTTAATTTATGGTAATGTTTAAGGTTAGGGTAAAACATGTTGCTACATTTCTCACTTTCATAGTCAAGGTTAGAAGTAGATGCAGCCAAACGGTAAAGGCATTTCCAAACATCCTATAATGTAAGCTTCTGTATGTATGAATCGCCATCATGTTTGTGGTATGTGTCTGCAAACCAGCATATTGTTCACTCTACTCAGAAGTGTATTAAAGCAAACATTTTTGTGTTTGACCTGCTGTCCATTGAGCAGAGCTATAACAGGAGCCAGTAGTGTCTCAATGACAGGTGTCTGGTAGAGGCACTCTGCAGCGCACTCCGTCCTCTCACACAGCATCCACACCACCTCCATCACCAGACTGCTGGGCGACAACGAGTCTGAGCATACAAAAAATAGATCACAACCTTTTTTACAGTGAGCATATAAATTAATGTTGTGCATGCATGTTATTGAGCTGAACTACATACACACACAGCACAACATCCCGTCTGCTTCTGTGTGTGGGTATATAAAATCTCAAAGCTTTCAGTAGAGCTGCTTGGTACTTGGGTGCGGTTTAGGTTCATTTCCACATATTGTAAGTGGAATTTAGATGCACATTCACATGTTTTATATGTTTTTGTTTTCATTTATACCTGATTTGATGCATTTCTGATCCATTCAAATAATACATTTGATGATTCTGACAGAGTTAAAACTGTTCAAACTGGTGTCTATGAGAACCACAAATAGGTCTTCAGACCAGTCTGAGTCAGATTACTTTTAAAATTTCATGCACATGGCCCCAAAAACATTTTATTTTTATATCCACGGTACTGTGGTAAAAGCTTGGGAAATAAGGGGCCTTACAAAACTCTCAGTTTGTGTTGCTTGAAAACACGGTATCTTATGCTCCAGTCAAGAACAGATATTGTTTTTGACAGTATCATGGTGCTGCTCAAAATAAACTGTCACAGTTACTATGAGTAATCTTTAGACTGCAAGTGAAATATTAATACATATCTGTGACTTCAGCATAACTTCCTGCAGAAGCCAAAGGAGATGATGACAAAGTCAAGATGGGGGACATTATTTCCAAAGGAGATGATACCCTGACAAAGTCAAGATGGGGGACATTATTGATCACTGGCAGCAAAATTGCTGCAGTGAATGGAAAAATAAAGCAACATTCTTTGACCTCAGAACAAGATTAGGACATAAAAGATAAGGTCTGAGGAATGCTGGAACACCTTACAGGGAGGGGGACTGTGTTCCCTCAGTCTGATTCTACACTAGTCTGGGCAGGAGCCAGGGAAGACGCTGAAACTCACGTCTTTATGTCTGTGCGTGAGTGTGTGGGACCCACCTGTGTGTGAGACATCACTGTGTGCTTTGGGGTGTTGGTACATTATGTTAATCATGATGACAACCAGATCTGTCAGACTAACTGCCTCTGAAACACAGACATGATAAATGAATAAATGACTCAGGAGATTCATTGTCTAGGCTGAGGCACAGAAATAGTAGTTACTGCCACACTGTTGCTGATGTGCTGATTTCCTGGAGATAAAGGTCAACGTGCACAATTCCAAGGAACATTCCCAATCACAGTATATTTCCAGGGAATTTAATTATGGAATTAAAATGGGCTGATCTGAATGCAGTAAATATGTTACTATACTTACTTCACTACATACATCTTTGGACTTGCACTTGTTTGGAGCATGTTTCACCATTTTAAGACATTTTATAGCATAAATGATTACATGATGAATCAGAGAAATACTTATAACTTGTGGCCCACACTACATCATATAATGTAAATATGAGATGCACAATATGTGAGACATAAGCACTGTTAAGGACAAATTGTACCTATATGATATATATATTGTCACTGAAGCAAAATTAGGAAACAAGGCAGAAATAGAGATTAAAAGTCTTGGCAACAGTTCAATCAACTAGTCAAGACTGCAATAAAAACTGGGTGAGGAATTGACAGACTACGACGCATACTGATGTGAGCACCCACTTTAAGGTGTGGAGAGACTCATTAACAGGCTCCCACCCAGTGAGGGGTCATATAATCAATATAAAACGTTAATGGGTAATAAAGGAAGATTAAGTGCAGTGAGTAGTCTATTCTAACAGTCTGACTACATAATATTCATGCTTCTAAATACCTGAGTATTATAACTGAAAACTGGAGGGAGTGGCACCATGTCTAAGCCGAGTGCAGACATACTGTACCTACATGATCATCATTTGTAGAGATTGAATAAATTAACTTGTTGTAAAAATCTCCAAAGAACAGATGACAACCTGCACAAGAAAGTAACCTATCAATATTTATTTGCCTCTTTAAATGCCAATTATTAATTTAAAGCCACTACTGGAGTCCTCCAAGTCCAGCAACTACCAGAAGGGGAGAAAATATAGCATTCAGCTCTTTACAGTGATTTGACATTAGCAGTGCACTACACTAATTTATAATTCTTTTAATAGAATGACTATGTAACAAAATGAAATAGGAGGTGCTGAGAAGTGTGGCCAGGATAGTGTAGCATCCCACCTTTGTGCTTCCTCACTCTGATGGGAAAGAGCCTCCGTCCATTGGTGTAGATGAGGAGTTTTCCAAGAACACACAGAGAGTGGACAAAGAAGGCATAGTCAAGGTCCTGTCTCGAATAAACACTCCTCTGCACTGAAACAGGAACAGAAAATAAAACTGAACAAAAAGGTCTAAACAGCAGCTGTAATCAGACTTCCAGTTTCCAGTGTCCAGACACTGTTGCATGTGGTTGCAGGTGTAGGAAGGAACAAAGTTGAGGGGAAAAAAGACAAAAGGAAGGGAAGTAAGAGAAATGCCTGTTTCTAAGAGCAAACTGCTTTTGTCAAAAGTGCTAAGAATCAGTTTGAATTAAACAGAAAAGGTAAAACACTATTTTTTGTACAGTAGCCATTTGTGAATTTGAAAACAAACATTTTAAATATTATAATAACTATTACACTCAGTGAATGTCCTGGTTGTAACACTGATGGACTGAGTTAATGGCATTTCCTGTCTAAAGCTACTGTAATAGAACGACATTGACAAGTATGTGGCACCTTTGCAGTGACTCTGCTGTACAGAAAATCAAGCAGCAGCTCAGACGGGGCATCGGCATATCTCCACTGATCCAACACAAGGTCGACGAGTTCCGTCTCAAGGAGCCAGCTGGCTCACAGGAGATAACACTGACAACAACACTCTCACACCCACATCTCCTGCTGTATTCACTCTCCTTTACTGAACTGTCATACCTGATCTGCAACTGAATGTGAAGCTCATATTATTCAATCTGTAATTATGCTTAAATTATATTAAACACTGTAAACAAAACCCATCATTGGAAGAAAGTGGGGGTTTATGGGAAATGTGGTCTACATTTTAAAAAAACAAGCACCAAGGTCTTGCAGTGAATTTAAGGACAAAATATTACATGATCCTGATTATTTCAGAACTGTAGTGTTTTAAAATAATTTTAAGGCACATACAGTTTCATAGGTTTTTCTTAACTTATGTTGTACATCTTTTATGCCCCAAACGAGTGAGACAAGGATGAAGGTTCATTCTTGACCTTGGGAATCGCAGCACGGCAAAATAAACTCACAAGGGCCACCAACTGGCTTATTCCTGAGCTGTCAGCTGCTACAATCACATGTTTCAGTGAGCGTGTTTATCCAGCGGTTGGGGTTTGGCAGAATTTTATTGAATCCAAAATCTTTCAAATCAAATAAGAGTTAACATTTTCAAGTAACTAAAGATATACAGTACTGTGCAAAAGTCTAAGACCACATTTTGCCGCTTTAGCAAAGTTGTAATGATAATTTATTTCTCAGCCTCTTTATTAAGATATAACCAGAAAATGCAGGAAATATGTACACAGTATAAAAAAAAACTGCATTTTTACAACAAAGTGGCTTCTACAGACCAAAGTCAGTATTTAAAGTGACCTCACTTTGCACTCAGCACAGCTTGAATTCTTTTGGGGAGACGGTTTTGAAACCCTGACAGATCCTACACCGTGTTTCACTGAAGGCCACTACTCTCATTCTTCCATCTCCCTCCAACTCTTGTTCTCACATACTGACTGGACCTGAACATTTCAAACTTCAACTCATCACTCCTTAGACTTTTCCACTGATTTTCACTCCAGTCTCTGTGAGCTTTTGCATGTCTCTGCTTTTTCTTCCTGTCCCCTTGTGAAAAAGTGGTTTCCTGGCTGCCGTCCGTCCACGAAGGCCATCCCTGATCAAGCTTCTTTGGACTGTGGCAGGAGCAGCTTGGCCTCCAGATGAAGCTGCCAGATGCTGAGCCAGGTCCCTGCTGGGTTTCCTCCACTCTCTCAAAGAAGAAACTCAGAGAAACCTCTCATCAGATTCTGACAGTTTTCTTGCTCTTCACTCCTGGTTTTGTCCTTGACTTCTCCAGATTCTTCATGTTTCTTTAGAACAGCTTGAACACCACCGTTTTTTTGTTGATTTTTTTCACACATTTTTGCTTTTTATACTGTGTACATATTTCCTATATTTTCTAGTTGCATTGGGAAAAAGAGAGAAATACATACACACTGACATCACAACACTGCTAAAACAAAAATCTAATGGAGGCCTAAGACTTCTGTGTTGCCTGTAACTGAATGTTACACAGCTGTAATCAATATTTTTATATAAACCAAGAAACAAATGGCTGTGAAACATGAAAGGGGTAACTTGTGGCAACAAACCCATAGAAGTATCACCCCACTTTATGGTGCCCCTACAACTTTACTGCTTTACTTCTTTCTTGCTCTCACAGCGGTGCGTTCTGTTTTTAAAAAAAAGCCTAAAAAAAAAAAAAACACTGTGCATCACATGCCCAACAACAAACGGCAGACAGACAACATCAGCTAGTGAATACAGGGGAGCTTTTAGCAGCTAAAGAGGCAGATTTTTCCTTCAGGAACCAACACAAAGCTTAAACAAGAGTAAATATTGGACTCAGTCATCAGGTGACCAGAAGCAACTCTGAATGAGTAATATAGTAGGTTGCTTCTTAACTGCTGGGTGTGTAAATAAGCAACTGTCTGCTTACAAGTTTGCTATTTCAACTTAAAAAGGTCAGTGTTATGTTCACCACCTCTTCTCACTACACCCCAGAAGAGCAAAAACTAATCGATTACTGCTGTTTAAAGATATTTAGAGACTAGTTAATGTTCACCACGATGTCAAAGTACAACCGAGATGAGCATATCCAAAGCACAGCGAACCATCTGAACACAATCGTAACTCGTGTATGTGCCATTCTGCAGATTTTGAGCCAAACAGTACACCAAACTGCATTTGTCTCATTTTTGTAATAATGGCTTTGAGATATGCAATATATTTTTTATGATACTTGTCTGCGGCATCATCATTTATTTAATCATCTTTCATCGAGTGTTCATTTTTCAGTGATTCCTCTCTCCATTAATGTTTCCTGTCTGCTTTATCTTTTCTCTTTTATCAATCTTATTTCTTCTCCCTACTGTTTTTGTGGCATTCATTTAATTTATGAGAGCAAAAAACTGCATGTGCACATTACAGAAACTGAATAAATGATGACAACAAAGACTAGGTACAAATACATTCAACATCCCCGGGTTTCAAAAGAAGCATTACTTTTTCATTAGGCTTTTCCAGTAGCTCAGCCTGTGTCTATAAATTTTTTGGTTTGTTTCACAGGACACGTGAAATCAGCATTACTGCAAAAACTCTGACGCTTATCACAGAGTGAGACTTGGGGTAAGATTGATATTTGGATATCCCTGGGAGTGTACAGAAACATGTTGAAGAAATCATAGGTCTATGGACTGTTTTACTTACCAGTGCTCTGCTGCCCTGCTGACTGGGAATCAGTAGTTTCATTTGTGTGACGTTCACAGCATTCGGAGTAATAGATACACTGCTGAAGAGCTGCTACAATCTGAAAAAATAAAGGGATTAAAGCAAAGCTTGTTGCAGTGATTGCTGCAACTATCTGATGAGTTGAATGAAACCTGCTGATGCTAATCTAAGAGTTGAGAGTGAGGTCTGGGATTAAATGATTCTTAAATGTCAAAATGGCACTCAACTTTTGTGCCTCTTTGATTCAAAGGCTCCCTCCCTGATCTGTGTGAACTGCACATACCTCACAAGTACATTGACATGAATAACAATATCCCTGTAGGCATCAGTTAAATGTGCCCAGTCTTTTAGAGTCCTTTCGCTTCTCAACACTTGTTTTGATTCTTAATATATCTTGGAACAGTAGAGGTCAGAAGTAGGAGGGAAAATTGAGATTCCTCTGAGGTCCAAGGATGAAACCAGAAAGATCGATGTAAAACAAACTTTTGCTGTTGCAAAGGCCTGCAAACTGAGTGTGTTCTGCTTTCTTAGCTTTCCTTGTTCATCCACAGTTTGTCTAACATGCACAATGTGATCGTTTCTGCTTTCTGAATGAGAAATTACTTCTGATGCTAGTTTTCCTAGGTGTTTCTCTCTGGTGCTGGTCTTTTCAGAAGAACAGAGGAGTTAGTGAGAGAGATTGATTACTTAGTGAATCACTCACTAGGGACTTGTATTTTCTCTCCAGGAGTCTGAGAACCACAGTCCTACTGTAGTTTCCATGCTGATAGGGAGACAGAACAAGAAAGAGAATATATGAGAGTGCAACGTGAGCCGGGAGAAAGAGACAGAAACATTAATGAAGCATACTTAAACTTAAGTGTGTAAAAAATCCACTCTGCATAAATCAAAAGACAGCTGTTCTGCTGCAATACACACCATCCACCTTTTGAACCATGTAGCTTTGATATCCAGTAAGGCCAGTAAGTGAACTGGTTCTAGGGCTTTTTCTGTCCCTGGTGAAGATGAGCCATATTCCTGATGGTAGGACAACAGGGAGAACGTGCCCTCTATCACTTCCTCCATATACCTAACGCAAGGTAGAAGGAACAAGCCTAAAGCAAATGTTCTGACCATATATGATCTTTCTAGACATAAAGTAAAGGAGCCAGCATTTGGATGAGAATTAACCATGTAGGAAACTGTTAGGGCAGCATGGATACCTAAACTGGATACCCAAAATGCATTTTATTTTAAACTGTAGCGTTTTTATCTTGAATGACATTTTATTAGTCAGTTACATCTGAGCTACTGAGTGACCGACGAAGAGACCAACAAGTGGAAAATCTCTGTGGCCACAACAACTTACTTCTCTGGATGTCGGATCCAAAAGGTTGTCACCTCCTTCTGAAAGTCATTCATCAGTCGAATCTGAGGCAAGGCAGAGAGAGAAAAACCTTTACAGTCTTTGTGTGGTGATAGAGTCTGCATCCTGTAAAAGATCAAATACTGCACCTGCTTGAGAAGATGACTGATCTCAGGTCTGCTAATGTCAATGACGCTCGAGTCAGTTGGGAAGCTCAGCTTGTGAGAGAGAAAAATGGACTCCACACTTTTAGCTGAAAAAGGCAAATTATACCTATTATAAACCAAACATTACACAGAGTACTGCTGTTCATATACACCCAACTGGTCTACTGCGCAAGTGTTTTAAACAAGTTACTTTAAAACATTTAATATATTCAGACATTATTACTATAACTACAGGAGATCACGCCACTACTGGTGAATTATTTATTCATTACAAAATAACTCAGATAGAAAGATAGTTACATACAAATATTTATTTATTAAATTAGTAAGATCTATGGGTTTGCCTCCACCGTACAGAGGTGAGAAGCTGCAGAAAGCCCTGAGCTGTGTATCACAAATCTTTGCCACATAAAACCATTTGCTGTAAATAAAGAAGATCTGATAATTTCATTTGTTCAATTCAAACATGAACATGCTGCAGATAAAAAAAAAATCCAGTAATGTGAAGTGAGACTGGCCTACCCAAGCTGGTGTAGATCTCTCGTGTCACATTCAGTGGAGAGGAGGAGAAGCATTTAGCAAAGAACTGCAGTACACTATCCTGAGGTTGGTGAGGGGAAAACCAGAATACACATACAATCTTATATACAGTATAATCAAACTATGATACCTACATTTTAAATTATGAGAAGATATAATGAAAATTAAATAACATGGTCCAAAACTGATATGGAACATCTACTGAGAAACTGGTCTGCATGTTGCTAGGCGTTAGCGCTATCACTAGGGACAATAATATTATCTTGTTTTCTCCTCAGTTATGCAGGAGTGGCAGGACTGGATTTTGGACAATGAGACCAGCTATCTTGCTTGTTAAATGACATGGTTACTATGGATTACACAACTGTTGTACTGAGTAGGCGAGGCTGCTCAGGACTCACGCTGAGGTTAGGGTCGGGCTCAGTCAGTGCTGCACAGAGGTTCCTGCGCAGACTGCTCCAGCTCTCACAGCTCAGCACGTCAGATGGAGGGGCGCAGCACAGAGCCTGCAGGGCCTCGAAACGCACCTGCACAAACAGTTACACTTCACCTGAACACTGTTAATCGCATTAACATCTACTGTATAGCAGCGTTCCAAACCTTTGTAGCTTGTGACCCTGTGTCTGTTTGCAACCCCTCATCATCAGTTGCATCTCAGTTTAGTTCAGCAACTCATTTAGGTCTGGTGTTGTGCACATGAAAGCAATTTTAGGCAGGACTAATAATGATGGTGTGATCTTTCATAGACAGCCAGCTAGCTACATACATCCACAACATATAATTACAGAAAAATGCACCATGCAGCACAAGAACCTCCAGTGATGTGATAAAAAGCATGAAACAACAATGTGCCCATGACAGTGTTTTGTATGGAAGCTATGCTTTCTACCTCCTTGGTCCTGCTAGAGTCAAGTTTTTCAGCCAAGACTTGCAGCTGCTCTTGCCTGATGAATGCATAACTCTGAGGAGGAAATGAAATGGAAAATTATGATCCACATTTCAAGAGCTCTCATTGATTGATTGATTGATTGATGGCACCAGCATTTTCAGAGGTCACAACTCTTCCCTATGTTCAGACTACCATCAACAGAAGAGGAACACCATACAGGCACTAGAGTTAAGATTCAATAGTGGCACTTTAAAGGAGTCAACAATATTTTAAGAGGCAATAAATAAACAAAATGTGACTGATTATTGCTGTCAAAATGTATTACTGTTTCTCTGACCTGGCTGAAGGAGGCGTCGCTGTCAGAGCAGTTGTCAGTGAACTGACTGTTCGACTGACTGTGTTGCTTCTCTCGGTGCATCTCCTCCTCCTTCAGTTGGTCCTCCTCAAATTTGTTGATTAAAGATTCCACAACCATGATCATGGTGGTTTTCAAGGTCTGCATCATTTGCTGGTACCTGCCACAGAGAAACAAATATGTGTATTACTAATTTCACTGTTGTTCTGAATAATTCAGTCTAACTTATTCCTGTTTAAACTCAGAGCAAATTCTGTAGCTTCCAATATTTCAAGAAGGCAACAGTACAAGAACAAGGGGTCTGAGGAGTAAACAACAGTCAATCAAAAACATCAATTTCTATCGAATGATTTTAAAATGAGAGCTCTAAAATCTTTATTTGAAAATAATTATTATACAGATACTAAAGAGGACTGCACAATTCACACAACACATGGTGATTATATGTGACTTTACTCCACAATAAATTATGCATATGCATTTGGAGAAAACAACACAAACAAAGCTCTGGGTGACACTTCACTCACTCAACTGACTCTCTGGTCCTTTGGGTGACACCATGAATCAAGCTGTCATGCCCTGAACCAACTGCATGTTGTTCATCTCCTCTAGTCATCTTCTTGGTTTCCTCATCCACCACAGTCCCCAAAGAGCTTTCCACATACTGATGGAGGTACTTAACAAACTCATAACTGAAAAGGAGAGCAATCACAGAATCAGATTGATACCTGTACACATCCGAACAAAGAGCACATACCCACAGAGACAGAACAATGTCTAAATTCCCTGTAAGCCAGTCCTTTAAAGATAACGGCTGTCTGTCAGAGTCTGGTGTCCTTACTTGTGAAAGTTCTTGTCAGTTTCCTCCAGATGAAGGAGGACCTCTTCAGCACAATCAGTTGACAGAGCACCAGAGATCCTGTCACCGATGCTCCTCAGAAGCTGCTTGAGCAGAGATTGTAGTTCCACCTCATCTTCAGCTGCCAACTGAGACATCTCTAAAGCTGATCTTTAAGATGGGACAGAAGAGAGTGACTGGATTTCTAAGCTTAAAATGCTAAACTGTAGGGAGGATATGCACTTGAGTTTGCTTGTCTTTGCAAGCACAAATGAAACCTGACAATTTTCTGTGCAGAAAATTGATTGAATATTATTTGCAGCAGTTAATTGTTTGCTTTTCTGAGTTCTCGCTACTAGTCTAGCACGTATTCAAATATATCACGGGGTTCTTACAATTGTTTTTCTAGTTTCGGTGTGCAACGGTCATTCATCTTCAGGACAGTCAATCAGCTAATCACCTACAGGTGTATCAAGAAGCTACCTCTAAGTGTCTTCAGAGTCGGAGCACCAACCATTTTCTAAGGCGCCTTCTTTTAATATTATGAATTACTTCTATGATTATTTTTACGATGAAGCCAAGAGAGATTCATTTCTGCTCTTCATCTGGTTAGCTTGACGCTGACGAGCGCACCAACTAGCTACATGTAAAAGTGTCCAAATTTAGCTGAAACCGCAGCTGAGCGAAAACCAAACAACTCCCAACTGTACAAACCAACCGACCACACAGAAAGGCATCGTATGCAGCACATTATAACCTAGTCACCTTTTTCATTGACTTGTTAAAAGGTTTTCATCTGGTAACATTTCGGGAGCACTTGGCTCCGACATCAGCGTCTCTATGGGAACGTTCACTTAGCTAAGCGCGGTGCATTTTGGGATGTCAAAAGAAACCACACGTTGCCTTCCGGACGCGTCAGAAATATAGATTTAATGTGTATAATTAGGATAGCGTAAGATTAAATATGACAAATAAACTAGTGTCATTGAAAAGCACTTTGATATTTTCCAATCTGCCATTGCAGCAAATGGTTATCCGTGAATCTCACGATTGCTTCTATACATTAGACTATTACTCTTGAGCGTGAACGATTTCCAACGGTCTTTCTCGTGTGGTGGTGAATGCACCACCACATCTGACACGTGACTCAATGTTTTGGTCTTCTCACTGTGTGCTGTACGGGCATCTACCTGCCTAAACGACCCTCGGTTATCGCAGCTTTATTAGAAAATTACTATTTAGGAACATCAACTAGTTTTGTTTGCACACTCGACTTACTAAAAACTTTCCTTTTAGAAATCAGGAGGTTACATCTACTGGACGAGCTAGAAATCTAGCATCAGCATGGCGGCAGTTGACAGCTTTCATTTTTTGTACAGGGAAATTTCTCGGTCATGCCATTCTTACTTTGACACCTTGGCCCTGGTGGGAGCTTTGTACACGGCCAGCAGGGCAGTAATCCTGCTGAGAGACTGCTGCTCGTTGGTCAGGGTGTATTTCCTACCAAGAATGATACCGAGTAAGAAGCTGACCCAAAGATATGGTGACTGGGCTGTCATTTATGGTAAGGATGCGGCAGGTGAATCGGTGAGACTGCATCATACAGTTGGAGATCTGTGACACAGACAGGAGAGTCAGTTTCGTGCATTTTATTGGAGTAAATGTACTTGTAATGTATTTTTTGAGGTTATAGTGATGTTATTATGCAGTAGCCCTCGGTTATTTTATACCCTCTTTTCATTCTGACAGGACTTGAACATGACTTGATATATATTGTCCTCTCTCTTGTCAGATGCATCAGAGCCTGTTGCTCAAGCGTATGCAGAGGAGCTGGCCAGGCACGGAGTCAGCATCATCTTTGTCACTCAGGACCACACTGCTGTTAGAGACACTGCTGAGTCCCTCTCACAGAGCTATGGAGTGGAAACTCTTGTCATCCTAGCTGACTTCTCTCTGGACAAGGCCGCCAGTAAACCCATCAAAGAAGCCATGAGGGGTAAAGATATCGGTTTCCTGGTGAACTGTCTGGATGAGTCTTTGAATTCTTCCCAGAGCCTGATTGAAATGCCTGAGCAGAGTCTGTTGGATTTGGTGAATAAGAACATTGCAGCCACTACTCTGATGACCCGATTGGTGCTGCCAGGGATGGTGGCACGCAGCAGAGGAGCTGTGATTAATATATCATCAGGTGCTGTCTGCAGACCCTTGCCTGGAAGAGTGACACTCATCGCCTCCACTGTGAGAGAGAAGCACTGCTGATGTCATCTTTTTGTGCATGCACACACCAAGAATAGCCTCTATTGACCTTTTTTCACAGAAAACATCACAAGACTTCATTATCATAGACATACAGGTGTAAATAAATGAACTACAGGTCTGTTAATGCCAGTATTTCCTTAAAGCAAGTAGAGTCAACAACATGTGTAAGATGCAATATTTGGATGATGTGTCAGGGCTAACATATGCACAAACTAATCAAACTGTCCTTGCCTGCTGTCTTGCTTCCTTCTTCTGTCACCTAACTAACAACAAAATTCAAAACCTAATCTTCTATGCTGACAATAATCATCTTTCCCTTACTTTCTCCTAACATGCCAGGGCTACCTGGATCAGTTCTCAAGAGCTCTACACTTTGAGTATAGCAGCAAAGGGATTTTCATCCAAAGTCTGATTCCCTTCCAGGTAAGATACCTGATATCACAATTAGCAAGTACAACTGAGCACTGAATCTCAGTATATTGTTTGTAATGTGTCAAGCTGTGGAGATGACGTTACTATATATCCCCTTTTATATTGTCAGTTTATGGTTCTTATAAATACATAAATACAGTTTATTTATATAGGCGGTGAGGGGTCAAATCATTTTATACCTTGGTATTCGCCTTGAGATACAGTTAATGTGTATTGGTATCTAGATAGCCTCAAGCAGGCGACAACCATCATCATCCTTATCATCAAGAGAAGGATGGTTTGTACCAAAGCCAGAGGTTTATGCTCGCCACGCAGTCTCCACCCTGGGAGTGTCTAATAGGACCACTGGCTACTGGCCACATACACTGCAGGTCAGTACAAACTAAGTCATGATGTCACTCTATAGTTAGTTGATACTTTGAGTATACTGCTCAGAGACAGTCAAAGACACATTGAGAACATGACCTGTTTATCTTTTTTTTCTCAGCATGGGCTAATGAGGTGTATTCCAGAGTGGATCTGGGTTCTCAGCTCTCGTATGCTCATTCGTTCAAGCTGAGGTCTCCCTTTCTTCACAAGGACTCAGCCTGGGGACTGGATCTGCTTGTAATTAGAGTCATATGTAGAGTTTTATTTTATTTTATTTCTTCTGCCATTAGTTAAAGGACTGTGACTATCATAGGATTCTCTCCTATCAAGTTGGTATCAAGAAAAATGTGGTGGAAGCAAAATAATGAATAAATATGCCCATTACTTCTGTAGTACTGGACTATGATCTGACACAGAGAGAGTGGCTTTGACCATAAGTTCTGGTTGTAAATGTTGATTTGAATCTTATCATAATTTCTGGCAGTAGGAGCATTATGCCTGGACATTTATGAAATAAGCCTCCATTTGGACTGTTACATAAGGAATAAGTTCAAATCAGGACGCTGCCAATGTGGACAACACATGCCTTTCCACTCAAGAGAAAAATGAATTACAGTTACCTTATTTTTGTATATTGCTCTCTAGTTCTGTCAGGTTATACTGCCTTTCACCAGCACTGAAAACACCCATTTGGCACACACACACACGGCCAAAATCCAGAGCAAACCACATCTAAAGTTATAGAGGCATGCTGCTCTTTTAGGTAATCTTCCTGGTTTAATCATATGTTAGTGAGCAAAAGCTGCATTAAACAAGACTAACATCAGATATTAGTCTGATATAACTACATATAAACCAATGCAAATGGGAGAAGTGTGTTTATAGAAAGTGGAAAAGACATTTTTAACATGTATTGTATGTAGATTGTGACCAAAGCACAGTATAAATGTGAACATACAGGATTCTTGGGTTGTTATTATGTCTTAAGGTTTTATCACTTCCTGCTCTAATTAAAAACCAGAGTTTGATAAAACACTAAGCTACAGATTTACAGCAAATAAGTGCATGGTCACAAATACAGCACAATAGTTTTAGGTAGACGTGGTGTCAAGTTCCAGATGTTTCCAGGGGTGAATTTAAAATGCAGTGCAGAGTGAGATTGTGATGTTTTTTTGTTGGGAAACTATTTTTGAGCTACATTTAGCATATATAGAGAATGTACTACAATAATTTAGGCATTTGTGTTAAAATATTAACAGATTCACATATTGGACCTGACCATAGCTAGAAGTGTTCATCATAGTACAAAATTAGACAATTACCCCTCCTCCATTCCCATATTTCTGACTTTTTATATGACCAGTACATGACCAAAGTGTCTGTTTATCTGAAGGTGTTGGCGTTTGGTTCCATCATATGAGCTGATATGTTGACTCTAATCTGTATGTTGAAGGCCACACGAGGGGCTGGAGCCAGTCCCAGCATATTCTGTTTTATAACCAGGAAATTTAATAATCCTTAGGAAATGAAGGAAAACAGCCAAAATGTCACCACAATTCATATAACTTCTTTACATACAAACAAAATTGCTCATCTATAGCTATAAAATAAGAACATCAGTTATAACAGTAAGTGCAGAGCAATACTAGTAATAGCAATACAAATTTTGAATAGTGGCAGACCAAAACAGCTACTTAGACTAAGATATCATTCAGTTCAGTAGTTTTAAATTTGTTATAAAGTCCAGGGGTGATTGCTTCATTCCATTCAGTAACTTGTTGTGTCCATTATGGAAACATTGTTATTTGTCTCTCAATAAATCCAGTCTGATTTTCCTTTTCATCTCATCTGTACATGTCTGAAATGTAAATGATTTGGCTCAATGCAGTGCATGTAACTGCAAGTTGAGGGTTTATAAGGACTGGTTGATCTGGTGTTGTGGTGGGATGGTGTCCTTCTAGATAAGATGCCCAAGGAAGAGTGAAAGGACAGATTCTTCATTTTCCTGTTCTGGCATTCTCCTGACACATCGCTGCCTTCATCCACCTTTTTTCCTCTGTGGGTTTGCTCAACTGGTAAGTTTAATAAATAACAATATATTTTAACAACATACTTTCTCATATATTTACTATAAAAGTTAACTGATTCTGTGCATGGAGTGGAAAAAGTCTGAAGAAATCTGGCATTATGCTGGAATATCCTTGTCATAGGCTGCACTGTTCTACCACGCAGTATTTCAAAATGCACCGTTAAATAGATAAATATGCATGCCATCTGTAGGTATCATCAGAAATATGCACAACTATGAGAGGTCCAGAAAATGGAACTATAAGAAACGACTTTGAATGAGAAAGTGTGTCCAAACATTTAACTGGAAGTTAAGTTTATCTACATATACTGTCTCACATATACCATATATATTATGTAAAAGGTTCTGGTGAGAACCATAAATGGGAGATCATTAAATAAAAGTATACAAAACAGAACTTAACTGTTTTAAAATGTTCTGTTTATGCCAAGATTTTGCAGCTTTGTCTATTCAAGCAGGTTGATCTCTGTATTACATGAGTGGTTGAGCTCAATGTCTCAGGTTGTTTGAATTAAAATTTGCAACGGCTGGTATTGAAACAAGGTTAAGGTCTTGTGTCCAGCAGATAAAGATGTTTTGAAAACTTGGGATCAGCAGCTGTGTCTTAACAAGTTCTCTTGATAGCTTGGCCTTGTGAGAGAGTCTGTCTGTTCTAACTTAAACAACTACTCTGTGGGATCTGTATATGTGGGTGTTACTTTCAGAAAGTATAATTTACAACTTTAACCCAACTGCTCGTGAAATAAATAAGACTACATTTCTGTTTCCAAATCACTACCAGTTACAATGTATACACACTGTACCTCCAAACTCATACAAGGTTGCTGTATTAGACTGCACTGTTTGTCTGAGTCACAATGGTTTATACATACTTATGCATGTCCCCAAACTAAAAGCAGAACAACTAACACCTGAAATGGGAGAGTGGGATGCGCTGAGCCGCCTGCTGGATAAAGTGCAGAGCCACTCCACGGTGATCGGCAAGGTCTGGCTCACAGTGCTGTTTGTCTTCCGCATCCTGGTCCTGCGCACCGGCGCTGACAAGGTCTGGTCAAATAACCATGAGCTAAACACACTTCTTAGGAATAGCTGCAATGTAGGTAAAAATGAGGGGATGACGCTGAAATTGTATCAACAGGTCTCTGGACTGGGAATGTCTCAAAACTCATGGCCACTTCACCTTTGAGCTACTGCACCTCATGTCAGCTACTGAAAATACTTTGAATAATTCTGAGCTACACAAACACTAGCCAGTACACCTTCGCTTTCTGAACTTTCATCTCTTATAGCACCTGCTTCTCTCATCTCGTCCAGGTGTGGGGCGATGAGCAATCGGACTTTATCTGCAACACTCAGCAGCCCGGCTGTGAGAATGTCTGTTATGACTTCGCCTTCCCCATCTCTCATGTTCGTTTTTGGATTCTTCAGATTGTCGCCGTGGCGACTCCGATGCTGCTTTATCTTGGTCACGTCCTTCATGTGATCCACAGTGAGAAGAAGGTGTGTCACTGCAGTGTGTTAGCTGGTGACCTGTAGTGCTTGTGTGTCTGCAGGCTCCTTTTGATGTTTTTCTCCTGCCTATTGGTCAAAATTTCCTTAACGCAGCTTTAGAGAAATGTTCCACCTAAAATCTAAATTTGAATATTTAATACTTATTGGCTTTAGAGTTGATTGTAAAAATATTGTAGTTTCCATATTAGCTAGTCTGAATTGAGATGGTTATTTTTTCATTTTCAATGACATTAATAACTTGTGAAGTTCTCTTGTGATAGATAGATCTCATTTACTGCTCTTATGTTTGACAAAATATTTCTGTAGCATCAAGGAGGACAAGAGCTAACATCTGTAACATCCACTACTCAGAGTAATCTTGCCTCCAACTATTTTCTTTGATCTACTTACTTTATTCCGTGCATTTGCCCCCTTTTTAAATCAGTTTAAATGGTCTGTGTGGCCGTAGGTAAGGTGGTAGATTTTTCATATTGATGGAAAATATCTGTCTTCCTATCTGTCCACTCAAGGTGAAGGAGAGAATGAAGAAGCAGGCAGAGCTGGATGACCAAGCCAGTCTGTTCCTTAGGAGGGCCTACAAAGTTCCCAAGTACACCAAGAGCAGTGGCAAGATCACCATCCGTGGCTGTCTCCTTCGCAGTTATGTCCTCCATCTTTTTGCCAAGCTTGTCCTAGAAGCTGGGTTCATAGTGGGTCAGTACTGTCTTTACGGCTTCACTCTCGAGCGTCGGTATGTCTGCAGACAGCCCCCTTGCCCTCACGAGGTGGACTGTTTCATATCCAGGCCTACAGAGAAATCTGTTTTCATCTGGTGCATGCTGGTGTCAGCGTCCCTTTCCCTCATCCTCTGCATGATTGAGCTGATCTATTTGTGTGTGAAAGCTGTGAAGGAGTGCATGGCGAGGAGGCAGGACTACACTGTGACCCCGGTGACACCTCCGGTTTCAGAAAGGAACGTGTTTAAAAGGCGGGATGAGATGATCCAGAATTGTGTCAACTTGGAGCTGGAGTTGCAAGGACGGAAGTTAGGGGTGAATGGAATCACAGGCGGGGTCAGTGAGGTCATTAAAAATGGTTCAGCTGATAACATGTGCGAGGTCCGCATCTGAAGCATGTGATAAGTGGTACGTGTCTACATCCCAGTGGTTCCCTTGGAGTTCCAGTATTTGTGTGCTTTGGCTTCTGGGAAGAACGGGGGCAAGTGTGCGATGACTAATGATGAAGGGAAGGGGCAGCCAGCTGCTGTAAACAGGACTCAGTCACATGCAAAGTGTCGCTTATAACAACAAATGTCTGTGAAATATTACAAAAACAGCAAACATTTTTCAAACCATTTCTTGCTGTTGACAGACCCATGACTTTAAAATATTGTAGATTAAATTTTTGATAGATTTTGTTAAGGGTACTTTGCTGGAATGATTTAAAACTATGTATCATTATAATTTTAATTCAATAAACCTCAAAACTCAAATTGCAGTACAAGCCGTCCTTTTCTTGTTGGGTTTTCAAGTTTGCGCAGTACATTTTCTGAGAAGATGTACTGTAAAAAGCATTGTTGGCCTTAAACTTGGTCTATACTTTGTCACACTGCTGCTTTATTAAATGACTATACATTTATTTTAGCACCTAATCTGTCTCTAGAATTTACCAGCAGTTTTCTGTTTCTAAATTGGTTCATTAATTTATCATACTGTATATAGAGAGCTATAGTTGCTACGTATAATGCATACAGTACATAGCATTTAGTTAACAGGCCACTGCAAACACTGTATATGAGTCCTGCTAAATATATATTTCAAAAGGCTTTGCTCCTGTTGTGCTCAGTAAAAAAAAATTGCTTTTTTACAACTTTTCTAGATGTAATTGGGACATTTGGACGATACTGGCTAGAGACAGGTAACAGTAAATGTTACTGTGTGTTAAAAACAAAAGCACGTAAGAGCTACAGTATTTATCATTTATCATTCATAATCACAGTCAAATGTTCGCAGAAAATTTAAATCACATTGGTTGCTTTATTTCTTCTTCTTTTACTGACTGAATGATGATACATTTCATTCAGACCCATTTACCAGACAAATAGCTTGTCTCCTGGACTTGAATCTGAACATCTGTCAATTATTACACTCACACTCTTGGTTCATGTTTGAAGTCAGCTTTTTCTGCTCTCATTTGGTAACGGGTACATGTCAGGCTGCATGCGTTCCTCATTGGTCCTGTTGCCCCCACCGAGCACACAATTCCAAGGTCCACCCAGCTAGTTACCTGTCTGTCCCAAACTGAGACAGTTCTTCCTTTCTGCACAGCTCATCAGGTAAGATGGAACGATTCTTGTTCTCTGATCACTTGATGATATTAAAAATACTAGTGGATTACCAAGATTTTTGCTTTTATGTTTTCTGATTTTTTAAAGTAATGGGCTCTTAATTTACATTTGAATATTAATTACACAGATTTCTCTATTAGAATTAATTTCTTACATTAGTGGCATCAGATTACCTTTCATTTGTTACATTATTGTTTTTTCCCCACATTTCATTTATTGAAAGTATATATTTATTATTGTGTTTACCAAAGAAAAGCTGTGTTTTTTATTTTTGTCTCTCATAGTTTTACCTCTTTGTCAGCCTACTAAGCCTCATTAGTACAATGCCGCCGAGTCTTCCATTCTTCTGTTCAAAATTCTGATTAATGATTGATATTGACCAAGTAACCTAAGGTTCAGGAGGCTCTAATGTCTTTTTCCTTCTTATGTAGTCACATTAAAGTACAGAAAAAAAACATGACAATGAGCCCCTTTCTTCCATCAGCAGCGTATTGATTAAATAATAAGTTGTGGTTAATGTTTCAGTGAATAAAGTGTAGTATAAAGACGCTGAAAACTAAATGAAGATTTTGTTCCATGTATTAGCTTGAGTATTTACTCTGTATTTCCCTTCTTTTCATCTCAAATCAGTAACTGAAGATCCCTAATAAAGATGGGAGACTGGGGATTCCTGTCAACGTTGCTGGACAAGGTCCAGTCCCACTCCACAGTTATTGGGAAGATCTGGATGAGCGTCCTCTTCCTCTTCAGGATCATGGTTTTGGGTGCGGGTGCTGAGAGCGTCTGGGGCGATGAGCAGTCAGGTTTCATCTGCAACACTCAGCAACCTGGTTGTGAGAATGTCTGCTACGACTGGACCTTCCCCATCTCGCATATTCGCTTCTGGGTCCTCCAGATCATCTTTGTCTCCACGCCAACGTTGGTCTACTTGGGCCACGCCATGCACGTCATCCACACAGAGAAAAAGATGAGGGAGCATCAGTTGAGCAGTGGTGGGACACGGTCGCTCAAAGTGCCCAAATACACAGACGAGAAGGGGAAAGTGAAGATCAAGGGGAACCTGCTGGGAAGCTACCTGACTCAGCTCATGGCCAAGATCCTTATTGAGGCTGCCTTCATAGTGGGCCAGTACTACCTTTATGGCTTCATCATGGTCCCCATGTTCCCCTGCTCAAAGAAGCCCTGTCCCTTCACTGTGGAGTGCTACATGTCTCGACCTACTGAGAAGACCATCTTTATTATCTTCATGCTGGTAGTAGCCTGCATCTCTCTGCTTCTCAATGTCATTGAGGTGTTCTATCTGATTTGTACCAGGGTCAGATGTAGACCCAAGCAGCCCAGCCGCAAGTTTACCTCACCAGAAAACCCTGCCAACCTGTCAGGTTCCAGGTGGCCGACTACAGAGGATGCACTCAAGCAGAACGAGATAAACATAGATCTAGAGAGCAGCCAGAGTATCAGAGGACACCTGGATGGAGCCAAAGAGGAGAAAAAGCTACTAAGTGGTCATTAAAAACTACGGATGTGGCAATTAAAATATTTTTAAATGCCCTAGCTTCAGATTTTCCCCATGATTGCTTGTTCAGACACATCTAAGAAACTGAAGTGAAGTTTTCTGTCAGTGTGGACAGGATATCAGGGAAACTCTTTATCATTGTCTAGTAATATGACAGTCCTGAGAAAAGTCTGCATAAACTGGCAACTGTTTTAGAGTGACATTGTTGGAATTTTACATTCATTTTGTATTTTAAAATGAAATATAACAATGAAAAGTGGTAAACACTGATGATATATTTATGTTCTTAGGATGAAAGCGAGTGAGCAGAATTGTGTCTGTGTCCAGTTATTGAATGTGTTTAAGTTATTGCCAAGTTTATTGTCCAGGACTTGAACATATTTGCTTACTGAAAGATAAAGATGATGCAGATGATGATTTAGATGAAGAGTCGGTTTCTACTGCATATGGTATTGTATGTATATGGTACAGATCTTTTGTATGCTATTGTTTTCAATAAACAAATTAAATTGTATAAAATACCCTTTCATGACTATATCATTTATATTTAGATTGACTATTTAAATTTTCCACTTCTAACATTTTCATTATCAATTGGTCCTACTGATTATTTTCTCTTTTAAGTGATTAATTAAGCTTCCAGGAGCCCACGGTGATCTTTTTCAGATGTCATGTTCTGTCTGCTCAGCAGTCGAAAAGATATTCATTTTTCTATGAAAATCCGAAATATTCACATTTGAGAAGGCAAAAGCAGCTTTGTTGAAAAACTGCTTGGACAATTACAAATTAAGAAAATTGCTGCCATTTAATCATCTGCCATATCACTCAGTTAATCAAGTAATCATTGCAACTGTACAATGATGTATGTATATATTACAAAAAAGAGCGATAAGAATTGTGCATAAGATGGGATACAGGGATCACACCAATGTAGCTTTCATACAGTCTAAATTGTTAAAATTTTTGGATATAGTGGGATATAAGACTGCTATGTTTATGTATAAAGCCAGGAACAATTTATTACCTGGTGGAATTCAAAAACTATTTAATGAAAGGGAAGGGGGATACAATTTAAGGGGTCAGTTAAATTTAAAAATTCATGCTATACGTACAACCAAAAAAAGATTTTGTATTTCCATAAGTGGAGTAAAACTATGGAATAATTTAAGTGTGGACATAAAAAATAGTAATAGAATTGACGAGTTTAAACATAAATATAAAGGTATGTGTCAATCAAGATATATGCAAGAACAGGTTTAATGGAATCATTTACTGCTTGCAAACCAATGATGGTAAGATGATGTCATGGGGTAGGACTGGATAAGTCTGACTTCTTCCTACTCCATTCAAGCACGTACTAGGTATAAGCAAATTGATTTTGGATTAGCATTTGTTGGATATGTGTAAAATTATGTGTGTTGATATATCAACTGTTTTTACATGCTTGAAAGAATAAATCAAATCAAATCAAATCAAATGTACACATTCTGTAACTTCAGAATACACTGTAGGTAGTGGGTGAGAGATCAACGCCTTCACTGTGTCACAAATAATATGAATCTGTTTAAAACTAATGTTCAAGCCTCTGTTGGCACTATCTCAACAAAAAAATGAAGGTGAATGTTCAAGCCTCACATATTGTATTTGCTGCAGGATTATTCTACTGGATTGTACTAGTCTGTAGAGGTCTTTAGGTTTTTGTGCCCATGCCCTTTAATACCCACCTCTGTGATTCAAGATACCAGGTTGTGACTAAAAGTCTGGTGTTCATTCCCTTAAATGGTCAGATTAAATCTAGTTAATCAGGGTGTTCCTGTATGAGACAGGTGAAGCTACACCCTCAGTAAAAACTGATGACTTTATAGATACATAACTAACAAAGTACAGTACAGAGAATTAGTATTCTAGTGTGTATATAATTTTTTTTTTTTTTATGGAAATCACACAATGACGAATTAAATAGCTGTAAATGGAAGTTGCACAAGAATTTGGTGTAGAGAACTGCCAAACATTAACCAATCTTGCCAGTTCTCAACCTGAAATCACCACTTGAGATGCACCGTTTCAGATGTCATAACAACGTGACCGCTCACACTGTTGCGCAAGTGCATGTAATCTAAAGTTCAAGGTATTGTGGACAGGACTGGGTTGGAACACTGTGCTGTCTGTCTTTCAGCTCCACAGGTGGTCGCTGGTCTGTTTGTCTGAAAAAATTGTTTTCCATTTCAAAGGTAAGATTTACAATTAATTTAAAAAATGTTAGTTAATTTCTGCTGCACAAAAAAATTACAATGATAAAATGTAATGAATTAAAATTAAAATTATGTGGTATTATTTTTGAAATAGGTTGATAGTCTCATTATATCAACCACAAATTTTCTGATAGATCATTTTTTAAAATTCTGAGTATATTTTGAGTGTTGTAAGCATATTAGCATAAGTGTTTGTAATCAAAACCAGAGTACAGAGAAACTCTTCATTCCACTCGACCTATTAGACTAATGCACTGTCCATACTCCATGAGAATACAAAATTCACATTGTCTGTGCATTTCCACATTTTCTGGCTTGATAAAGCTATGAGGTGTAGTTAGGATACACTGTAATCACTACTGTATATAAACACTTGCTGAATATAAATTCTTCTCCTAAGATCTGATTAAAAATGCTAAGATCAGATAAGGCGCTGTTTTCTAAGAGGTTTTACAGCCCCTTCTTTACGATCGGAACATTTGATAGCTAGTTTTCAATATATGATTGTGTCTTCAGTTATCATTATTAGTAGTACTTATTACAAGATAACATAATGAATAATAATAAAATCATAAAATAGTGAAAAAATAAAAACTTCTCAGTGAAACTCTCTTCTTTGTCTCTGTCCGACTGGAACATAATAATTTCCTCAGCATGCTTGTAATGAAGCCATGCATTTGTTATGTCCAAATTATTAATGGGCAAACATTTTCCATTCACTTTCCTCCTCAGATCAGAGACTATGGGACAGTGGAGTTTTCTGTCTTCTCTGCTGGACAAGGTCCAGTCCCAGTCCACTGTCATCGGGAAGGTCTGGCTCACCGTGCTGTTCATCTTCAGGATCATGGTTCTTGGAGCTGGAGTAGAGAAGGTCTGCTTCTATTTGTTCATAGTTTATTTTTTGCACCACTATATATATATATAACTGATGCACCACTAAAGTCTTTCTGATCTTAGGACTTTTAGATGAAATAACGCCCTCTGGTAGCCACAATGGTCCACAGCTTCTGAGAAACAGCAGCTTTGAAAACCAGATAGTGTTCAGATAGTACTGCGTTGAATTGACAACAAATCATCAGTTTTTAATTTATAACTAGATTTGTTTTATTACACTGAAGTGGTTACATTATTAAAGCTACTCTACATAATTTTTTTCAGCTTAAAGCATCTAGTGAGACTCAAAACACATTAGCTTTAGACGCTAACACATCCAGAAGGAAGAATCAAATGATGTCAGAACAGAAATAAAACGCCTATGAATAAAGGGACTCAGTCCATTTGTTTAAAATATACGTGCAATAATAATAATTTCCCATCTGGGCATTGCAGGTCTGGAGTGATGAACAGTCCAAAATGGTCTGTAATACCAAACAGCCTGGTTGCAAGAACGTCTGCTATGACCACGCCTTTCCAATCTCACACATTCGATTCTGGGTGCTCCAGATTATCTTTGTCTCAGCACCGACGCTGCTCTATCTCGGCCATGTCTTTCATGTCCTCCACGAAGAGAAAAAGCTGAGGGAATACAACCAGACACACTCAGAGACTGAAATCACCAAAATTCCCAAGTACTCTGATGAAAAAGGCCATGTCAAGATTAAAGGCAACCTGCTAGGAAGCTACATGACCTCCATAATTTTCAGAATCATTCTGGAGATAGCATTCATTGTGGGGCAGTATTACCTGTACGGGTTCATCATGGACCCAAGAATCGTCTGCTCCCGACCTCCATGTCCCTTTACGGTAGAGTGCTTCATGTCTCGGCCCACTGAGAAGACCATCTTCATCATCTTCATGCTTGTAGTGTCCTGTGTTTCTCTTCTATTCAACGTAGCAGAGATCATCTACCTGGTGTGTTCTCGCTCATCCAGACGAAGGTCTAAGACTGTGCCAGCTGCTACTATTGCCATTCACCCACATTTCTACAGTGAACTGATGAAAAATGAGAAGCTTAGCCCCCATGATGCCAGTCACAGCACAGCCTGAGGAACTCCATTTAGATCCAGTGTGGAAAATCTTAACAGTCACATAGTTTTCGAGTGACTATAGTGCTACATTCAGAACAGACCATGGCCATACTAAGAACTATTTATTTATGTGACATTTAAAAAATAAAATGTGGAGACATACTGTATATGAAGTCTATTTTAGCCATTTTGCTTTGGCCTGTATATGAAGTCTATTTTAGCCATTTTGCTTTGGCCTGTGAATACATGGGCTGCAGGTCAGAGGGACCTGACCATGTACCTTGACTTTTTGCAGATACCTTTGTCTCTTTACCAATTTGTACTGGCTAAAAGCTCTTTTGCAGCACTAGCCTTAAAGCAATGTATAAGGGCTTCAGGAGCTACTTTGCATTTTAAATGTAATTTTTTTTTAAAGTTTATGCTACCTAGATTGTTTATGCTCTATTGTTAAGTTTGATTTACAAACATGATGTTTACAACGGTAGCTAAATATTTAAATTAGAAACCATTGAGAGTTTTTCTATGGTTTGTATTTTACGACTATGGTGAAAAAAATTTATATAATGATTTTGACTGTGTCTTCTATTTCAAACTGCTACATCTCCGTTTTGCGTCTTGTTTTGTTTGTTGATTTGTGTTTAATTTATTTTGATATATTAATTCAGCATATTTTGTTATTAAAATTCTTTCTTCTATCTGCCTTATTACCAGAAGGTCTATAGGAGACTAAATTAATCAAAACTGACTCTCTAAAGCAGGAGAGGCTTTAAGCAAGAAAACTATTAACGTAGCATATAAAACACTTATAGCTACTAGCTTTCACAATATAAACTCCAATGATGTATTTACACACAGTGATCCCGTGTAAACGAATCAAGACAGAGCACAAGATGGCCCCATTAACACTTTTATCACGTACGTCGTTTTGACAGACATCCGGTCGGGTCCCGCCCACCGCCTCGCACAGCGACGTACCCCAATTTCCTCTTCCTTGACATAACAGCTGGTAGCAGCTCAAGATGGCCGCTGCAACCATAGCGGGGCTTGATCATCATGGGCTTGATGCCCACAGGATGGAGGAAAAGAAGATCGAATACTTCTCTTCGATCAACTCTATGGCCAGGAAAATAATGCAGGAGAGGGAGAAAATCAAAGCCAACCACGGCTCTTCCTGGGAGAAGATGACGCCGCAAGAGCAAGACAATGCTATCGACAACTGGATGATGGATCCTCATATCCGAGCCCGATACGCTATGCACAGAGTTGACCGTGAAGAAGTGGTCTGTTACCCTAAACTGCTCATTCAGACCGGTCAGAAGATAGTGCATTTCGGAGAAGAGGTACTTAAACATGAGGTTTAAATTGTGTTAATGGGAGTGTGACTGTTAGAATAGCACGTATTGTCGTGACTGCTAACTAGCCACGTAGTCGATGAACACGACACCGGGTTGTGAACGTTAGCTACAGATTAACTACAACTATTAGACAAATAGATGTAATAGTGAGACATTAACATCTGTACCACACAGCAGGTCCACAGGCCATAGTCATTTGTTGTATACAGGAGTCTCCCAGACATTTGGGTGCTCCTTGTTTTTAATAAAATACTTTTAGAAATTATTTCTTTATAAAAAATCGTGCAGGACATTTTTCATGCTTGTTTCGTTAGCTTTCTGTAATTGCCATCTCTTTTACTGGCATACTGTGATTTTACACAAAAAATAAACATGCTTTATACAACTAGTATTAATTCAGTTATTAAAGTCTTGAAATCAAACTCCTGAGGACAGTTTGTGTGTTTTTGTGTTTAGGATCTCACCTGGCAAGATGAACATTCTGCCCCTTTCTCATGGGAAACCAAGGTAGTTCCTTAGATTTAATGTTTTTTAGTGTAACAAGTTAGTCTGAAAAGACATTTGCCAATAATATAAAATTTTAATTCATGATTATTTTGGATCAAATCCTCACACTAAGGCCTCTTTTTTGCTTGTTTCCTGAAGTGACTGCCTTATCAATACAGTTGACAATTGACTTGTCATTTCAAACTTTTTTGTATATTGTAAGTACAACGAGCTTCTGACTTTGTCTCTTACTCTTTGTTAATATCTGCAGTTAGATTATCTTAATATCTGGCCATTTTCCATATGAAATTCACTGGTAGAGTTGAGCCCAGTAAGATACTGTTCTGCTTTGTTGATATCTTTCAGAGCCAGTTAGAGTTCAGCCTGACATCAGGCTCTGCAGACCAGGTGATCTCAGCCCCACAGGCAGAAACCAAGCCTGCAAAAGGTTCTAATTCCAGCCAGAATGGAAAGAGCACACCAGCTACCAAGGTACAATTAGGCTGCTTCTGGGCAGACATGATTGCGATTCTACTGTGGTTGTTTTAATTTAGTTCTATTGAAAATCAAATGCTTAACTTGAATGTTAACAGAGATATACACATTCCTAAGCATAAATTATATTTAGGTTTAGGTTTAGGTTTATTTAAGTTATTCAATGAATTGTGCCAGTGAATGTTTTACAGCATTTAATCCTTAAGACAGTTTAATTAAATATATTATTTTGTGGAAAGGCGTCTGTCAGTGAGGCCTGGCGGCCAGAGGAAGAGTCATCTTTCTGGAAGATCAGCGCTGAGAGATCCAGGCTGGACGGAGAGAAAGCTGATTTCCAGTCTCTGACCCCCAGCCAGATCAAATCCCTTGAGAAAGGAGAGAAACCCCTCCCTTCCTACCTTCGACAGGTACACGCTGACATCTACCCGCTTTCCCCATTTACTGATCACTATTTGGTGGCTCTTCCAATTCAAGTACAAGCTGCCAAAAATGCAAGAGACTGAAAACAAGCTCCCAACCTCAAGACAGGTGTCATTTACATTATTGAGTTGTGTAACTGGCACGTCTGAAATCTCCAATGTCAGAAAAGCAGATGGCAAATGCAGTAAAAAAGCAACAATATCTAGTTTGTTTCTCAATATTTCACTTTGCTCTTTCTTTTCTGCTTTCATGCTTTGTTGTTGCTGTGATGTTTCACTGCACAGCCTTAACAACTACTGTACCTGTGTTGCTTGCAATGCCTATATACGAAGCCTAAGTGTAATTTCAACAATTATACATCCCCTGTGTGTGAGAGCTGTTTCTGAATAACTTCAAATCAGAAACATTTCTTCCTTTTTAACTTGTGTATTATTTTTTGCAGGAGACCTCTGTCACCCCCAAAGAGCCTGAGGCAACAGACCCCCACCCTCTAGCTTCTACCAGGTCCACCAAACAGCGGGCACCCAAGCCTCCTGCTCCCCAGCCCCCTGCCCCAGCTGCTGTTAGTGCCACTCCGGCATCCATCTCCATTTCACCCAACCCAGCCCCACCCGTCAGCGCATCCTCAACAGTGGCAGGATGGGAGCGATCCCAGAGCACCCTGCCGTCGGTCGGCAACACCCTGGATGAAATGTTCTCCTCTAGCTTGATGTCCAAGCCCTCCAACCTGTCCACCAGTGTGGAGAAGGAGAAAGAGGAAGATGGTTCGCCTGGCTTTGACGCCAGCCCCACCTTTTCCCAGGTAAGTTCCAAAGTGGACATGCGTTTCGGAGTGAGCATAGTTTTTAAGTAAAACCTTTGCTTCGGGTGGAGGCAAAAGCTTTACAGGGCCACAGTAGCACTGGTTCTCCCCCTGTCCAAGCTCTCAAACAGTAACTTTCATGCCTGCAGTTTGATTCGCTTGGTGAAATTAGACCCCAGAGACTAACAGCAAGTCCTGCAGCACTTTACAACATATTGCACTGTAATAATATGTCTGACAGTTATAATGTGACTACTATATCAGTGGTCTTTTAGTACCTTACAGTACACACAGAGTAGGACACAACAGCCTGTTTTAACACATTTTCACCTTCTGGTTGATCAGAAAAAATCCCCAGGCTCATGTTCTGCAGCCAAATTGATGGATAACTAAAATATATAAATACTTCACGTCGGCATTTCTTCACAAACAAAAGGTTTATTTAATAGTTCAGCATTTGAATTCCATCCAAAACTGCACATCAGCTATCACACATATTGTATGTGTGGTTTGGCTTTTGTTGCTTTCACACTACAAACAAACTGCACCACTGTCCTGCAGGAACCAAGGCAAACCAACCTTTTCAGTCTTTGTACAGTTGTTCAATCTGCGCCCGAGTTCGATTCACACAAACCTCAACAAAAGAATTTAAACAAGAAGCAGTAAAGAAGTAAAGCGCATGAATAAATCCATTGTAGGATAGCCATCCAATATGTGACGAGTTCATTTTCCACCTTTTACATCACGTGAAGTCCACCAAAGTACCATTTGTTTCTGATACCTAGTCAGTATCTGCAGCCTTTCACATGGTCTCCTGCCCTCTTGTTCCTTCTCCTCAGTTCAACACAAGCAGCAGCATCCTTAAGACTGGATTTGACTTCCTAGACAACTGGTAAACCACAGCCAAGACCAGTCCCTGAATGAATCATCCTCATCATCACTCTAAAGAAGGACCACACTGCCATGACTACAGACATCCACTTTTATTTAAGGAACAGCTGTCTTTTAAATTGTTATTGTAATTATCTTCAGTGGCTTGTTAAGACATGATCTCACCGCCTGTGTGCTGGTGTTCTCCCACACTAGAAGAGTTGCCTCTCCTCTCTGACAAACATCCTCTATCCACCAAATGTAGAGTACGCAGCGATTAAAACTGTGCCGTCCCCCCCCCCGCACTGTGCATTCACACTGTGATAAATTTGGCTGAGGGGTTACATCATTTTTGAAAGATTTGGGAACTGCAGCCATGATCTCAGTGATACTTAGTCACTGCATGTTGTTGTTGTATTTAAATGTCCTAAAAGTAATTTTTCTTGTGGCATCATAATGGGCATGTGGCCAGGGAAAAGACAGGTGCAGTCAGATTTGTGATTTGAGGTCAATATGTAAATGAAAGTGTATTTAATTGCATCTGAATTTTTGGGGACACGTGCTGTCGGGTTAGTTTTCTCTACTTTGGCAAATCATTCCAGCTTTGTTCTTGTGTTTTGGTGTTCTGTTAGCAGAGCTAGCTAGGTGGCCACAATATTAAAAACTAGCAAAAAGCAGGAAACCATATATCATTTTGAGAACTAGCTGGCAATCCTAGCTCTAGCTGCTCCCCAACAATAGTTGTCTCATCTTAGCCTTTCAAATAAAAACTTTTATAGAAATGGGAAGGTTAAAATGGCTGGTACAAACTCTTGAGCCATATTACAATTCCCATTAAGAGCACATGAAATGTCATCCTACGTAGCAGAGAGATAAAGAACTGTGTAACTCTGTTGTTCTGCTGATTCCAGGAAGCATTTGACCTGTGGCCCCTTTTTCTCATTTAAGTTCATGGACCTCTGTACATGCTGGCCTCATGCCCCTGCTAAGTGCTGATCATGTCGTCTGCAGTGTGAATGCACAGTGATCATTTGACTTTGCTGCCTTGGTGAATTTTCGTCTGTGTAAAACACTAAATCCCTCATGCATTTTTTTCTATTTATGTTTTGTTAGAGTATGAAGAATTTGCTCTCTGATATGCTTATTTATACCTATATATTCCTAAGAACTTAAGACTATTTGGGTTAGAGTAGTGCTGCAGTCCTGGCCCACATATTCCACAGACAACATTCCTCCTGGTTAAGGAATTCCTGAAATATGCTATTCTGAAAGATGTTGTTTAGATGGAATTTTATCATTAAGTAACTTTGCAGGAATATTTCAGGATGTATTGTCAGCTTTCACTCATTCATTGAATTAGATGGTGGTTTTCATCCCAGCTAAGGTCAAAACCAGACTTGTTCTCTTTGGGGTGGAAAAAAAAGAAACGGGAGGGAAGAACAGCCATGGAAGTGATCGAACTTTGCCATGGAAAACTCATGGACTGAATGTCCAGGCTGCTGTGGGAAACGTACAGATGTCCAGTATGGATTTAGCTCCCTGACAACACTTGCTCACCACCCCCACCCCCCCCAAAGCTGCCACCTGTTGCCTCACACTACTGCTGAGCAAAGCTAGTGTGCATAGATAATGAAAATAAGACACGCTCAAACATTGTTTTAGATAAACAGGCAGGTATGTGTAACACTTGTCATAGAGTTTACATGACTAGAGTACTATTTTGCTGAATTTTATATTTATCTGCTGATTGTATCTTCTGCTATACATGTATATGCAGTCACAGATTGGAAGGAAGTAAATAAATCCAAGTCTGCATGGTTTCTTGTTTATTTTTAAAGGTTTTGGACATAAAATCCCATTTATTTGCAATAGCGAATTGTGTTTTCCAGCTTTTTTTTCTTGATCACACCCACAAATTATGTTTTCCAAACCTAGTGAAGGCCGTGTTTAAATAATCTCTGCTACATTTCTCCTGGGAGAAAACGAGGGTCTGTGTGATGCACTCTAAGTGGTGAATTTGATTAAAAACTGGTTTGAAATAAGTCTAAACTTGTACATTTTAATACATTTCTCACTCCAGCTTTTTGAATGTTTGATGTCAGGATAGTTTACCAGCTTGTTTGCATTCCTGTTGATCTCCTCAGCTCCATGACATCAATTCCTCCAGCTCTAATTTTGACCAGATCCAAATAGCCATTCAGGAAAGGGGGAGGGAAGAATATCCAGGGCTTAGAGGAAACTTTGTGTTGTTCAGCTAAACACACTGTTCCAGGTGAAGCTCTTCAGAGAACTACTTTTGTCTGCATCACTGACCAGTTGGTTTGAACTAAGTGGCTGAAGCGTATTTCATGTGTTAACAGGCCTCTGGTGGTAGCTGCACGTTATCCAAAATGTTTTAACAATTCCTTTAATTTAGTTGGCTGTAAACCACAAAAAGTCATGGTAATATTCTGAACAGATTATTCAAGTTGACTTCAGTTAAATAAGGGGCACTTGTGTTTTTCATGCTCCCTACTTTTCATCATTGCAGAACCTGGCACCTTCACTACCCACAATGCAGCTCAACGTTTGACAATTCATTAGAATATACAATTGTGTTATGCTAGCAGTGGCTAACACAGCCTTGAGCAGAGATAATGTGTAAACGCCCTGATGGGCAAATCAGGTCTGATCCCTTTAAAGCATTAAATATTAATATCGTGGGGGCTTCATGTTTGTGTCCATCACCCCTCCCTGAACTGAGGCACCTCTGTCCAGTGTAGCCCCCCTCACTGCAGCACCACCCAACACATCCAGACCCTGAATGGCTGCTTTGTGTTTGCACTTTTTCCAGCAGATGTTTGGGTGAATGAAAATCACTGCACGGTACAAAATGGAAAAAGAAACAAGGAGGCAGCCTGCTCCTCAGACACAGCACTTCACTGACCTGACAACACAACCAGAGGTCCTCTTCACAAAGCAAACAGAAGTGACCAGACAGATGCTGCTGTGCCCCAGACTGACAGTTCTATTGTATGTTTGACAATACAAGTGCAAACAGATATTTGTCATACTACTTCTGAACAGTTAGTGAAAATTTGAGATGCTGCTTTTTAATGTCATGCTCCTCATACATTAAACAAACCATTCTGTAGCAGTTTAGATTTTAAACCGACTGATTTAAGGCAGCAACTAACGTTTCTTATTATCATCTACTCTCAGTAAATCACTGAGTCAACTGTCAGAAAACGGTCAAACAAATCACACAGCAATTCCCTAAAACCAAAAGTGGCCTCTTCAAATTGCATTTATTGATCAATGAAGAATCTAAAACCCAACAATGCTGAATATATTATTCAATAAGATGAAAAGCTGTGAATCATCACATTCAAGAAGCTAGACCTCAAAAATATCCGATACCTTCGGTTAAAAATTATCTCAGCAATTAATTATCACAATAGTTCAAGCTTAATTTCCTAGTCTAGACTCCTTTGAATCCGAACTAAAGTCTGGAAAAAGTTTGGAGTTTGGAATTCATCGAGCACTGGAACAGCTGTGTGTATGCTGCCGTCCTGCAGGCTCAGACACATCTGTCCCAGTTAGTTGTAAGCAGACACACGGGCCCAGTCTCCGGATCCAAGCGCCCTGCCTCAGTCACTCCCTGTGGAAACTCTGCTGGATTCTTGTGGCATTTTAACTGGCATACCTCACCACACACACACACACAATTACATAAGGCCCTTCTCTGTTCTTTTTATGTCATTTCCCTTGAACAGATTCACAACTCAACGTCTGATTTATTTAGTTAAACTAGAAAATCTTGTTAAGAAGACCTGATATTTGGCCAACTAATAAAAGGCCTCTGTGTATACTGACACACTTACTGTTGGTATACACACAGGCCTTTTATTAATTGGCCAAATATCAGGTCTGTGTGTATACCAACAGTAAGTGTATGTATATAAATAAGTTTATGAGCACAGTATACCCGAGTACTGACATACTGTGTTTACTATTGGGACAGAACTGAGCCAAAATTTAAGCCAGAAATAAGGATTACAGAGGTTTAAAAAAAAGCATGTAAGACATAAAAGTTCATTCTCTTGTTGTCACTTTTGTCAAACTACTGTTCCCAAGGTCAAGAATTTATTTACATTCTTCACATTTAAGCCAACACAGAGGAGGAGCCCTGAAAGTGCTGCACGCAGCAAGTTACGACAGCTGCTGAGCTTTCATGTCAACAGACACGTCTCCATGGCAACCGAGTAAACTCCATCTACCGATAACGATCATGTGATGCTTTCAAAAGCTCTGGAAAAAGTTTGTGGTCCTTGAGTTGAGAGTGTTTTGTGATGATTAGATACTTTACTGAATTATTGTTTACTCTTCTTGTTGCCTGAGTATATGTGGAAAAACTTGTATATCCAGGTCGGATCTATCTTTAAGACTTCATTACTGAATGTTTCTTTGATAAACTACCTCCACTTCCTAAGCGAATCAAAGCATAAAAAAGTGATACGATAACAAAGCTGAGCCCAGGGTTGTTTTTCTTATCTTGTGAAATTTGGAGGCATGTTTTTCTGGTCAGTGATGAAATTCTCCTTTATGAGTTGAGAAACTTCCTTTATGTCTTAAATCAAATCAAATCAAATCAAATCAAAGTTTATTTGTATAGCGCCAAATCACAAACGTCATCTCAGGACACTTTACATAAGGTCTAGACCTTACTGTTATCACTATTATTACACAGGGAAAACCCAACAAATCCCCCTTGAGCAAGCACTTGGCGACAGTGGGGAGGAAAAACTCCCTTCTACTTCCCTCTTAGGCTTTAAAAAAAAAATCTCAAAAGTTGTTTTTCTAAAGTATAACACAAGGTTGTTCTTCTTAGCTCCCAAAAACTGTGGAGATATACGATGTCCACAGGACACAGACCTGTGATGCTGATCCCCAGTGTAAAGCTGCAGTGTTCACACAAAGAGTGGAAATGTTAGTTTTCATCTTCTTTGGAATGAAAGGAGAGACAACGAGAGAGATAGCAGGGATATCATTTTGATGTTTGTTGTTCTATATTCCTAGTGTTTCTTTTTTTTTAAGAGGGGGTGGACACCAGCTCTCATTCATAATTCGAATGGGAGATTCCTACTGTACTGGATCACATCACTGAGGGAAGCACGAGGGTGAAGGGGGAAAGAGGCGTGAACGAGAGAGAGAGACAGACAGTGGAGAGAGCGACTCAGAGGTGCAGGGGAAGTTTTTGGTGCTGAAGGAAAAACAGAGCTATTAGGAAGCAGAAAATGAGACCGGCTGCCACCTCGCTCGCTCTTCTGTATCTATGTTCTCTGGGTGTGTGTGCTCCTACAGCGATGGCTGACGCTGCACCAACACAGGTGTGTTATTTTTCTTACTGAAACATGGACTCATTTGACTTAAACTTTTTCTCTTAATTTGGAGATGTTGTTGTAGCTGTGTCTTACATTTTCTTGATCTATCGTGCCTGTTTGGGTGAGACACTGAACCCTTTCAGGACACTCTTGAGGGTATGTAGTGTATATGTGCGCAGGGCAGACTCAGGTCTACCACACACACCGAGCACAATATGAACATTAAAATACACTACAATAAATTAGCTAAAAATGATGCTGACAGGGGTGAAATGCAAATAACTCTGGTTTATCCACTGTGTGTGATGATGTCATGGATGGATGACATCAGACATACTAAGGGTAATAACATTGCAACAACAGGGACGAGACTTGTATTAATGATGACGCACCCAGAGGAGCCGGTCCATCTGGCAGAGCTTTCCTCTGCTAAGATTTAATGTGTGTCAGACATTAAACTAGAACAGCCCTCTCAGGAGCTACTGAGTGAATATGACTAATAATACAAATGATTATAATGGTGTTGCTGACATTCAAAGTATATCTGGCATCAAGCTTATTTGACAAGATTAATGGTTTATTTAGTACCAACACATACAAATTAAACTGTCAAGAATAATAACTTATTGAACTACAAGCTTATTTACATGTTTATACCAAAATGAGCTCCTTAATCTAAAACAATTAATGGCAGTCATTCTAATAAAACTGAAATAAATAACCCAACAAATACCTCTTTTTTCTACTGTAAATAACTTAAAAGAAGACTTTACATGGAGCACAGTTGCAGGACAGCTTCACTTCAAGTACTGGAGCAAAGAAGCTAACAGAACTTAGAGGTGACATCATTGTGATGATGAGATTTTTCTGTGTGTGTGTTTCTCAGGAATCTCTGCCTGAGCCAAAGAAAGGAAGAGGGGACGTTCCTGACATCCTTCCAGAGCCTGAACCAGAGCCAACCAGCCCCATGTCAGACTTTGAAAGCTCATACAACTACGTGTGTACGTCATTTTATACCTGTAGTCATCATCTTTAAAGGCTTGCATAGCCATCAACCATCATGTAACCCAAACAACTATGTGCCTTATTTCTGTACTTCACAGCAGAACAGTAATATTTCATTTTACTGTAGAAAACCATCTACACTTACTGTTCTCTTCCTTTTCTTCTCTCTCTGATCTGACTGTATTCTATCCCACAGTATCCAGACTAGCTGGTATGGACCAGGCCATTCACAAGCTGAATGTTGGTCACTACACTCTGGATGTTAAAGTCAGCCAGCTGATGGACCGTCTGTCGAAGATGGACGGTAAGATCCTCACAGTTCACCATTTGTCCATTTCTTGATCTCGATTTGTAGCATCTTCCCTGAGCCTTTCATGGACTTCACGTTGATGTAGTTGAGTTCAAGGAAAAGTCAAAGGATGCCCTGTACTAGCTTTTATTTCTTGTATCCACCGTTCTTCATCACCCACAGCTAAAGTCGGGGAGCTGGAGGACAGCATCCAAGAAGTCTACCAGCACAGCAAGGACAACCGCAAGGAGATTGGAAGACTGGAAGGTACCAGAGCTATGTTGCTTCTTTAAAAACAACAGACTCACATGGCTGAAAGGAGACAGTCTCTTTAATTTCATCCATCTCAGCTACTAGATTTTAGAGAGAAACGTCCAGAGCTGAAAACATGTCCTATTTGATTTAAGTGGCGCTGCAGCTGCTGTGTCACAGCCAAGGAAATCTTTTATCTTCACTATCTTGTACACAGAATAACAAGGAGCATGCCAAGCACATGATGCAACATGCAAGCGTTTACAGTGAAATATCTTGTATTAGAGGAAACAGTGGCGTACAAGGATGACTATCTGCTGCTAGAGCGTGAAGCACATTTTCAAGTTAAAGTTTTGAGACAGTTCTGATAATATCTGCAACACGACTGAAAATTTGCTCTGATGTCTGATTACATTCTGCGGGTGGCCAGTGCCAGCCCTGATCACGCCCATGGCTCCACCTATGTGCTCAAGGAGATGTGGCAAAGCTTCTACCTTTATTTTCTTTGCTTCCTAGGTTGTCAGAAGGGACGCAGGATGGGATACAAATGCTATCTGGTGTACAATAGCTTTGAGGACTACGCTGGAGCTTCCAGAAAGTGCTTGGAACGTGGTGGCCGCATGGCGATGCCCCGCGACCGCAGGGAGCAGGAGGCCCTGGCTGACTACGTCAAAGCCTTCTTCCACCCAGGGAACTGGCCCGTTTGGCTGGGCATCAACGACCTGCGATCTGAGGGCATGTACCTGTTTGATGATGGGACGCGGGTTTCATACTTCCAGTGGCGCAAGCACTTCCTGTCCAGCCAGCCAGATGGAGGGAAACGGGAGAACTGTGTGGCGATGTCGTCAGACGATGGCGACTGGTGGGACCACTACTGCGATCGGACCATGAACTATCTGTGCGAGTTTGATGACAGGGTGGCACTTTAAAATGAACATAAGATAGCTTTACTCCCCTGCCACCTTATTACGTCCTTAAACCTTGACTTCCAGTTACTGATAATTAGAAATAAAAAGCCCTATCGAATTTATAATTTAGTCCTTTAAAAAACCCTGAAAACTATCAATTCTTATACTTTTAAAGTTGAGAAAGTCTTCACACCTAGTGATTTTAATGTAAATATGTTAGAGTATTATTTCTTTTCAATATGTAATTGCTGTAGCAGTGTTAGTTGTAGTGTCACTCTTTCATGGCATTTTAGACTTTTTTAAGTGAAACATGCCCACAAGCGCACAAATTTGTGTATTTCTATTTAAGTTCTGAATAAGCCTTTACCAGATTATGGCATTATAAGTATTATATGGCTCATGCAGCTGCAGTGACATGAATGTAAGCTAGTCAGGTCTCTGCTGTGATTAATGCAGGAAATTCTAAATATCTGTTAAGTTTCCACAACAGGGAAAACAAGAAGCGGGAAGCAGGTTTTTCAGAATCGGCACATATAGTAAACCACAGGAATGAGGCAGCGCTCCTCTGCTACATCGGATCTTTGGTGATGTAACAAAGCAGAGGGCATGTCTGCACCATTAAACCGCCGAGTCTCCACCATCGTTTCACCTCTGAATCCTCTTTCACATTCCAAAGATGACACATGTAAATGTTGCCTGCAGTGTGCAAAACAAGAATGTTGTACATAAAGAGCTGAATGTAAATGTTTTTCATAAATCTTTACTAAAGGTTGAAATCGTTTATAGCATCATTTTACTATCAATCAAAAAAACGTTCTAGAAGGGGCTAATTTTGGATTTAAATCCAGAATCAGAACAAGATTACATATATTTATCAGTTTTCGGTTCTTTATATTTCTGATATATTCACTTACGGACAAACTTTGCTAACAAAAAGGATCAATATCCAGCCCTGCTCATTAGAAATGCTGATTTTAACATCAAACTGTACACAAGCACAACGATAAGTTTATTTCATTTATAGGCTAAAGTGCCCCTTTCCTGAAGGGATACCTTCAAGTTCCATAGTCCCTCTTGAATTTTTACTTGCCACATGCTAAAATGAGGCAGATATGATACAGGAATGACATTCTCAGTAGATGACATGTATATTCACGAAGCTTTTTGGAGATAACAGTGCTTTATTTTACTTTTAATTTGAGACAAAGAGTGTCTACTTCAAGCAGCAGTTAAAAAACAATTACAATTTACTTTCTTAAACTTCCAGCCAGTAACATGAATTGTAAAGAGCAGAAAGCTGAAACCTTTAAACCATCTACTCCAAATTAAGCTTCATTTTTATGCTTAATAAATCCAAGTATACACCTTTGTATCCTTAGAAAATGGCCCTAAATATAAATAAATAGGGGCCAGATCTGTAGCATAGCAGCAGTTATATCTTTTTTCTACTGTAAAAATCTAGCTAAAAATGTATCTGTATTAAATGACATTATAAATGAGAATACAACGGCAAAGACCTATTCCCATAACCTCTCCCCTCACCAGACATGAGGTAACATCATGTCACCTAATACATAGGTAATTAATTCACAAAGGTCACCTGTCACTGCCACAATCCAAAGCAGCTTAATGCATCTTTAAGATAAAACCTTAAGAACTGTCTCTCTGTCTAACGTTATAGATTTCTGATAAACTGCTAGAGCAAATCATCCTGTTTGTTAAAGATAAATAACACTTACATAGTATAAAATGATATTGCAATCCAGTGGTGCTACTCATTTAAAAATGCTGCTGTCACAACATTGACACAACAGAGAGGAGCAGTTGTCTCTGCTTTAC